ACAATAACCAGGCAGTATAGTGACAGGGCTACTCTCACAATAACCAGGCAGTATAGTGACAGGGCTACTCTTACAATAACCAGATAGTATAGCGACAGGGCTACTCTCACAATAACCAGGCAGTATAGTGTCAGAGATACTCTCACAATAATCAGACAGTATAGTGACATGGCTGTGTTGATCGAATGCGCAGTCCCTCGAGCAGCTGTGATTTCTCTGTTCGGTCCACTTTATCCGTAGGTGTTCTCGTGATCCTGCCCAAACCGGAGGCCTCAGAACAGGAGCCCTTGCATGAATCCACAGCTGTGACCTCCACGCAGCATCCTGTCCTCCCTGTGGGCCTGCAGAGTGTTCCCAAATCCACCCCCGTGGACCCACCTGCGAGCCGGAGCAGTGTACGGCCTACAGTGGCCCTCAGCTCCCCTGCCGCTAAGCCGCCAACGCTCGCTTCTCAGTCCGCTCACAGCACACTGCCGTACGTCGTCACCTCGCAGAAGGTGGCCGTTACCCCTCGTTTGGAAAGGAACAAGGGAGCAGCATTCTCTCCACCCTCCCTAAGCCTCCAGGACGCTCCCCTGTCAGCTCCCCCCACCACATCCATTGTGAACAGCAATCCCAGCCACACTGCGACAGGAAATGACATCACGACACACGGCGCTGCAGATGCGTCTCCCAGTCTCGGCGAGGCGCCCCGTTCCATGCATCACCCAGACAAAGGCAGTGCGAATGTAGCCTCACCCTGGAGGCACTCCCCCACCACTGTGGCCCCCTATGTTGCCACCAGTTTCCTCAACAGACTGGTTCCAGTCCCTGAATCTGGACCTACTGGCCCGGGTTATGACCCGCCGCACTCACGGGGCACGCTCTGCCTGAGCAAGGCCGACATAGCATGGCTGGTGCTGGTCATCACCGTGCCAGCTTCCTCCTGCTGTGAGTACTGCGGCCATGGGGGGGGGCCGAGGGTCCATGCCATGTTCAGTAAACGTTTACTTCCTTGAATTGTAATGCTGAATGCCATACTGCCCAAATAACAATGACTATTACAAAGGTCAATTGTACCAGCTCACTCACTAAAAATAAGGCTTACGCCAGCTAACCTCTATGGTCAGCTGCACATGCTTTGCTCTCCCCTTCCAGCCATAAACATAAGCCCTGCCGCCCCCACCCCCCATCCCTGTCCATAGCCGTGCTCCTGACCATCCTCTGCATGAGGAGGAAGAAGCGGACGTCCAGTCAGGAGAACAACCTGAGCTACTGGAACGATGCCATCACCATGGACTACTTCAACCGACATGCAGTGGAGCTGCCGCGTGAGGTGCAGCCCCTGGAGACGGTGCAGGTAATGCGATCAGACCCTGGAGGACAGGAGACCCTTTTCTGAGCAGGCTGATAAGATCACTATTCTGAAACGATGGCTCTGGACACAAAGAAGCCAGGGGTGCATTCAGCAGTGTCTGAAGAGTCTGTTCTGGGTGTGTCGCCACACAAGCTGCACATGGTATAGTTTAGGGCTCATTTTTAATTGTATCGACTATTTCCTTTTTCAGAAAGATAATTTGAATGAATCCAGTCCATTCTAGTTGCAGGTGTTCCGGTCTCTCATACTTCCTGCTGCTTTCCCAGCATTTTTTTGATAATTCCATCAACAGGCTTTAAGCTGTGTGAAAAATTCTGGGTGCCTTTTGATAAATGATACGCTTATTTAGCAGGAATAGTTTTAGGGAGGCAGTGGCCACTAGGTTGCGTCTCCATCTGCTGGCAAGAAGGTGGTACTGCAAATATGACCCTGATACCTGCTGGTTTGTTACATCGTGTGCTTCCTACAATAAAAACACAAATCCTCGTCTGTTCTCCGCAAGTATGGGGCACAAGGCAAAGGAACACCCTGTACAGGATGATGGTATACTGTTCTTTTAATAATTTGGAAAAACCATGATAAATGATACAATAATAATTGTAGTAGTGGAAATAATAATAATAATAATAAGAAGAAGATTAAATTTATTATTTTTCTTCTTATCATTCTCATTATTATTATTATTATTATTATTATTATTATTTTTATTTTTATTTTATTGTGACAGGTAGGAACAAATGTGGATGGTAGTTGCCCCGGGGGGGAGTAGCTTTGTAACGAAAAGGCAGCAGCCGCATATTGTTAGACAGGTTCTCTGAAAAGAAAAAGTTGATTCATTAAAGAAGGTGTGTGGTGAGCCACTCAGACCGAGCTACCCGAGTCCCAGCAATATTCTTTAAGTAAAAAGGGGTATAATACAGTCGCCTTAACCTCAGGCGCTACACTATATTTATTATTATTATTGATGATGATGATGATGATTCAGATGTTCTTGATGATTCAGATCTGGTTTCCTGTTCATAGCTTTGCTCATGCTGTGTTTCATGAGGTAAAAGACACCCAGGCAGCAAGGTCGTTCCTCCCAGGTCTTGTCATTGAACACAGCCTGCCTTGTGTTCCAGGAGCAGGGAGCTGGTGCGCCCCCCAGTGGACACATTGACAACGGCATGGTGCTGGTCAACCCATTCTGCCAGGAGACTCTGTTCATCAACCAGAACACAGCAACATCGTGAGACCGAACAAGATAGAAAAAGCCGCCGTTTTTCCAAAGGTTTTCAAAATACTGGCATATGTGATAACCTGTAATAAACGTCTGTTATATGTACAAACCTGCACACATATTGTGAAAAAGGAGGATGAGTCTATAAGGGTGCCCTGTGTATGTTTCTGACGTGCTTTTTCTATGACAGCTTAATTGTAAAATACATTTATATGTCTTTTTTAGAAGTATCCTTTCTTTGTTTTGTTATAAGGTGAAGCTTAAATGTGTAACATATATGCTGTAGAGGGATAATAAGATTATAATTATATGACTATACAATTCTGTAACCCAAGATAAAATAAGCCTGATAACTTGAAATCCATTAGAAGACTGGGGATGCTGAGGTGGCCTCCAGCCGCAGAGGAAGAACAGCTTCTCAGTGCTAGCGTTAGCTGTGTTCTGTAGAAACGAAAGCGCCGGGTGAATTTTGACTTCTGAGGCCAGTGCGACGCCCTTTGGGAAGGCTCCTTGGAAGACATGTTGCTACAGGAATATGTAGAGCGTAGCTTTCATAAATGGCACCAGTCAGATGCACATCAGAGGGCAGAACCCTTAACGTCTTAACGTCTTTAGCATACTTCTATATGTACATGTGCTCCTATGTCTTTTGTCTCATCCTTATCCTGTGTGTGTGTGTGTGTGTGTGTGTGTGTGTGTGTGTGTGTGTGTGTTTAGTATGGTGCATGTGATGATGCAGGTTTCTTCTGGAGTAGGGTTTTTTTCTACAGGGAGGACGGAAAGTGACCTATGGCTCTGATTTGGATTGGACAACCCTGACCCTGTTCTGTCCTGCAAGACACTGAGACCAAAAAGAGCAAATGATGCTTATTATTGCACTGCACTGTTTCTGAAAGCGAGGTTAACACTGACTCACAAAGAGGCAGTCAGCCAATAAGAGCACTGGATGCCTCAGATGGGCCTCACAAAGAGGCAATTAGCCAATGAGAGCACTGGATGCCTCACATGGGCCTCACAAAGAGGCAGTCAGCCAGTAAGAGAACTGGATGCCTAACAAAGAAGCAATCAGCCAATAAGAGCAGTGGATGCCTCACGTGGGCGCACACCGCCATTTTTGATTGGCCTGTGGTTTCTTGGTTTCTGATTGGTAATACATACCAGTTAATGGAGGACAGGTATATATACTGAGGCTCACTGTGTTGTGTGCAGTCAGGAAAAAACAAGGAATAACAGACAATTACTCCATTAATTTTATTTACACCTTCTTTTCTTTTAACATGTTTTATTTTTCATAGGATTTCTCACTTATCCATCATGTAATAAAAGTGGTTTTAGGTTTCAGACACTGATAGAATAGAAAGAAGGCAGATTTTTTAAATTCTAATTATTATTTTTATATAACAAACTGAATAAATGTTGGATGTTAACCTTATATCTATCTGCCTTTTTCTTTTGTAGTGTACACACTGTGGTTTTTCACGGTCAAACAATAAACGACATAAGATTGTCAGGTGTGTTGCTGTTCATTTGTAACTGAAGCTGTGTGTGTGTTAACACCATTGTATGTATTTATTAGCAAGTTCTCGTTTTGGCGCTTGTGGTTTTAAACAGGAACAATCTTTGTTCTAAAAAAGTGCATCTCAACAAAAAACAGCAGTGTAGCTTTGAGATTCAAAGCAAAAGCTTTCAGATTCATCCGCATTTTAGTCATAGTGATGAGTCATTCAAACACCATAGGATAGTTCCAGCAGTTTGGGTAGCTCAGGTTATTTGCTTAGTAAATATTTTTGTCTGAAAGGGAGTGGATTCTTTTCACTGAAGCAGTTTGTGTCACGTGAAGCTGAATGTTTCTGCTTTTAACCCATTCTGCTTCCTGGGCAGAGTACAGGACCACACTCAGTCTGCATTTCCAATTAGACATCTCTCCATTTGCATGGGATACTCACTCAAATACTCCCGCACAATGAGGAGTCATATTTGATAAGAAATTCAATGTTATCATTGCTTCTCTTCATCTAGGGAATAATGCACTTTGGAATAGGCTAAGCTGTCTCTCAGCAGGTTATTTCATTCTTGTGTTCACACCATAATATCTGATTTGCAATCCTTAGACTTCGGGAGTCTCTGTTGCTGTAGATTTTTATTAGATCTGGTGGTTAAGCCATTTGTACAAGTATGGGTGAAGATACATAGGATTCCTTCAAGTATTGCATGTTCGTTTTTAGGGGACACATTAACAATCAAGAGCGAAGCTTGGGATCAGAACACATGATCACTAGCAACCTGCAACAGTGATACTTTTTCTCTGCCGGCCAGGGGATTTGAACCAGCAACCTTCCGGATGCAGATGGGCAGCCCACCCAACAGCACATTAAAGTGGACATCTTCTGGACACAGGAAAAGATTCCTAAACAAATTCCTGTCCCCTGAAGCTTAATTAAGTACCTATTTGTATATAATTTGAAGTGAGCCCCCTGTTGATGCGATTATTTCAACGTGATGCCCACGATTTGACTGCCGACGGATCGACGTGATGCCCACGGAGCTGAACGATGCCCATGGGGTTTAGTGTAGCCCATGTGCTTGTTGCCTGATAATGACCTGCTTGCGTTTTCCGCGCAGGCATTGTGGAAGGCAGACCTGGTCGAAGCCCCATTCCTTCATCCGCAGAGCACATGCACCCTCCCCATTCTCATGCTGGCACACTTTCCACAAACACTCTTTGTTCAGAGCTGCTGAGTGAGTCCAAAGCCTGTAATGGATGGTCATTTCCTGATCAGAAAACAGTGCTGATACAGCTGGAAACCTGCCCCCTTCTCCCAACAGCTGTCTCACACCTAACAAAATGCCAGCGGTCCCTATGGTTCAGGGACAATCATAGTGGTAAAGTACAATCGCATGGGACAAAGGGCCCACTTTCCAGAAGGCTGGTCCAGAATAAAGTGGCCGGTCATGAGTGTTAACAGCGTACGCTGCAGCGAATTTTCGTTTTACAGGGTGGTTTGGGAGGCTTCATTAATATTCATGAGAGAAGCGCTACCTGATTGGCCAGTGAATAGACAGAGTTCATCAGCCAATCAGGTAGCTTATCTCATGAATGTTAATGTGTTTCCCCAAACTACCCTGTGAAATGACAGTTTGCTACGCTGCAGCACAGGAAGGGATGCTGTGCTTATCAGAACAGTGAAACACATTCAGCCCTGTTCCACACGTTGATGCCAGAATGCCTCTGCCGAGACGACGGTCTTCTTACCTGGGCCAGCCACCCCAAGCTGAGCGGACGAGCAGCCTAGCCAGCACCTCTGTGCCTCGGGGTGTCTATGTGGGCATGGCACCTGCCGCAGGAGCAAGTAGCGGTCTAGGTACCCGGGTCTCACGGCGGGCAATGTACATCAGTAGTGTCTCCCTACAGGGTCTGCGTAGCTCCACCATCCCCGTGCTACATCCAGCCGGAGGGGCAACTCGACAGCCGCCCTTTGAGAGCCTCAACAGCTGCCTGCTGAAGTACCGGGACAAGGTGAGGGCCCTGGAGCAGCTCAACCGACAGCTGGAAGAGCAGATCCGACACTGCCTGGACCGAAAGGTGTCCAGCCTCGGCAGCTGGGATTCACTGCGGAGTGAGTGGGAGGACATTTACGGACAGGTGAGCATCCCAACAGCAGGAAAGATCTGTGTTTGTGATGAGTTTCATCTAGAGCACGGGTCTCCAACTCCGACTTTCTATTCTACCTCGCTTCTGATGAGCCACTCATGCGAAACTGTAAGAGCACAAGAATAGCTTAAGAGATCAGGTTACTTTTATGGTTGTGTTACAAGGCAGAATAATCCATGGATGTTCTAGGTGACCGAGGCCATTCTCGACAATGCGCGGCTCATGCTGGAAACGGAGAACAAGCAGGCCAGTGCTGAAGACTTCAAGGACAGGTGGGCTTACCCCCAAGGTCCCTCCTATATGGAATGTTTCTGCCCTTCTCTCAGTCTCAAAAAATGAACAAAAGACAAGAGCAATGACATAACTGAAGAAGCTCTTTCTTCTCCATAGATATGATCGTGAGCAGCCCTTCCGCAAGGCGATGGAGGAGGAGATTAGCTCTTTGTACAAAGTGATTGATGATGCCAACCTGGCCAAGATGGACCTGGAAGCTCAGACTGAGAGCATGAAAGAGGAACTGAGCAACCTGGCCAGGAACCATGAAGAGGTGAACGGTTGTTTTTTTTGCAATTCACCTTATGACCTCTTATCATTTACTCTTCTACACTTATGTGGACCTCCGTCATCAGAAACAATCCACAAAATGGAAAGAAAATAATGTGTAATAGTGTTTCTGTTATATGTTTCTGCAGGATGTGAAAGTGTTGTACAAGCAGCTCATGGGCAGTGAAGTGGATGAGCCAGAGGAACCCATCAAAACGTCTCTGGATGAGATCTTAGGAGACATCCGTTCCCATTGGGAGAAGGCCATTGAGAAGAACCGGGCTGAGACTGACACCTACCTGCAAGACAAAGTACACAGAGCCCAGATGATAAGTGACAGTGATAATAGCTATCATAGGCTCACTGTAGTATGTATGTAGTAACCAGGCTGGTCAGTACCAGCTCATTATCTGAATTTTCTCCACCTCAAGAAGTTCTTCTTAATTTAAAAACCAACCGTTTATGTGTAAAATATCAGAGAACCTTCATGTGACTAGTCATGTTTTATGTCATTGGTTGTTTAATGTCAGATGACCCATTTGTTACTAGAGAGACCTTTAGCTGTATGTCAACACATCCCTACTGCTACTCTCTCCTGTCACGTCCGTCTCTTTGGTGCCAACAGCAGGCTGAGAAGCTCAGCTGCCAATTGAGCCAAGAGGAGGAGCAGCTAGAGAGCCTGAAGTCTGAGTGCAACAATGCCAGCTGCAAGATGCAGAGCCTGCAAGCTCAAACAGAGTCACTGAGGGCACTGGTAACCATTGCATGCACCTCATTCAGGAACAACAATATTGATCCAGTCCTATCCACGTTTTCCTACTAGGGCGCTACGAACTCTAATGCGCCCCCTGCATCTATATCTTATATCTACATCCACACAACGCTTCCTGCTTAAGTAACAGTCTTCAGTCCGTTTATGCACTTTTCCCACAGAAGCGAGGCCTGGAGAATTCCTTGAGTGATGCCAAGCTTTGGCATGGCATTGAGCTGCAGAACCTCAGGTCAGTGATCAGCAAGCTGGAAGCAGAGCTGGCTGATGTCCACCATGACATCGAGCAGCAGAGACGCGACTACGAGACATTGCAGAGCAACAAAATGCGACTGGAATTAGAAATGGGGACTTACCACGGTATCCTGGATGGGGAAGAGTGCCGCTACCATCCCAAAATGTAAGGAATGAGCTGCTGTGGCTGAGGAGGTTCCCTGGATGATTGCATAAGTCTGTCTGTCAGAATGAATCCTGGAATGTGTTGTGCTGTATCAGCAAAAAGGGATTTCAGGTGATATTTAATCGAAGGGACAAAACTTGTTGTAGCGTAATTTCTTTTTAACTAAAGATTTTATACACTATATAGTAAAGCTGAAACAGCATATAATCCCATTTATAAAGAACATTGTAGTCTTGACTGGGAACCATCCTATCTTATAGACAAACACATATATAACTAATGATCAGCTGCCATTTTGCTCAAATATATGATGAATAATCAGGAGTCTATGAAGGCCCAATGAACGCTTTGCTTTGTCCTCAGGCTTTCTGGTGCCTCAGAAGACTCTGAAATGCAGGAAGCCTCCACTCCAGCCCCAGAGCCTCAGATTCTTCTGCAGGCTGCAGGTAAACATTACCCAAATATGGCCTATATAGACTTTTGGCTAGTCTCAGTCAGTATGTGAAAAATAAATAATCCCAAGAGCAACTGCAACTATATATATAGGATGCCAGACTTTCTTAGTATATTGACCAAGACACAAAAGTCTGAAATAATATGTCATGAATGTGAAATATGTTGCAGAAATAAGTGAGTCATTATACAGAATATGGAGACCGTATTTTTCAGGGGCTTCTGATGCTGCCAGCCATTCACAGGAGGAGAGCTGATGGGTGGGATGAAGTGACACTGTGCTTCACATCGAGCTGAGAATGACCTGCTTATCACACACATGCAATAACCCTAAGCCCTAACGCCTAAACTCTAAGCCTAATTCCTATGCCCTAATGCCTAAGCTCTAAGCCCTATGCCCTGTGCCACTCAAAAGCCAGCTGTTGCTCTCCTCTAGTGTTTTTATTGGAGTTACTTAATTTCCTTGCAGTTTAATAAAACACTGCCCTTTCTCAGACTGTTGTTTACTTGACATGAAATTCATGCTCGTTTGTCCATCCATCCATTTTCTGAAACCACTTAATCCCAACTGGGGTCGTGGGGGGACTGGAGCCTATCCCAGGAACAATGCGTGTAGGCGGGAACCAACCCTGGGCAGTTGCCAACACACCACAGGGCCAATTTAGACTCACCAATCCTGCATGCTTTTGGACCGTGGGAGGAAACTGGAGCCCCCAGTGAAAACGGGGAGAGCATTTAAACTCCACACAGAAACAACCCGGGACCAAAGCCAGGACCTACTTGCTGTGAGACAGCTGTGCTAACCACGGCACCACCACACCACCCTGCTTGTTTGTCATACTAGCCAAATACATAATACTGAATTTTGAACAAAAGTCATCAGTCATCAGACTGAATTTATATAGCGGAAATATTTTAATTCATTTTCAAACTCATTTGGTATGGATGCCAAACATATGTCAGTCTCTGATCAACAATTAAGGCCTCTAATACTGTAAGAAACACAATATAAAACTTCCCATTTGCTATTTGTCTATAACTTTAGTGACAAATGAGACATTTTGAAACCTCAGGGATAGACATCCTTCATAATAAAGTGACACGACTAAAGAAGCTTGGGCAGTTAAACATTGTAATGGGCTACGGACAAGGCAAGGAGCTGTGATTGAGATATATGACACACTACAGATTAGTTTTTCAGATTAGTCAGCAGACACAACACAAATTAAAAATATATACGAATAAGACATTAATTCAAATGGAATAGAGATATAGCTTAAATTGATTTCCATTCAACTGCAGGAGGAAAATAAAACGTATAGAAAGAATCATAAAACCATACAAAACCATAATAATCCTACAAAGGGTCTGTTAATTATAAAACAAAAAGTGCAGGAACAATTAAAAAAACTGTGCTTCCAGTGAAGGAGTTATAAAAGAGATCCGTATCGAAGCAAATCCTTAAAGGATGCAGCGCAAGGGGACGTTTAATACACAGACGAGAACTGCTGCTGATATCTAAACCGACTTCACCAACCTACAGCATCAAGTATCGAGGCGGATCTCCCGGGAGATTTGACAGTCCTGCAATGAAGGAACAGGAGGCGTGTTTCTAAATATTTAAGGCTAGTTAATAGGTTAACGAACTACCCTGCTACAAAATGATTGGTAGTAAGACTTGTCAAGCATAGGGTCAGCTTCCAGCAAGTGCAGGGTATCACTTCCGGTGGGGCCACATTGCTGGCAGCCGTGTTTCGTCGTTGAAGTGGTATCGGCTCAGAAAATCCTGATTGTTTTAGTGTCTGCAAGAAGATTTTACCTCCTGGAAGAGCATTAACGAAGCATTACTACTCTTCTGAAACAGTCAGTTGCCTGAAGTTTAGCTCGGGTATTTTGACGAAAAAATGGCGGAGGTTGCCCCCACTGGAGCGGAGAGGAGTCTGGACGACTTTTTTGCAAAGCGCGATAAAAAGAAGAGAAAAGAAAAATGCAAAGGCAGAGAGTCGGTATCTGCGCCCGGGTCGGTTGGTCTGAGAAAGGACAAGAAAGAAAAGGAGAAGGCGACGAAAAACGAGAGCCAGGACGCCCAGGTGGAGAAGGTGCGCCGAAGTCACTGCTCGAAATGCGGCAGCTTTCTCGCTAATTTCATGCATTGCCGCGGGTCCTGTTAGCTGGACCGGCTTCCAGGAGCTAGCCCGGGGTGTTTCGACCGATGTCAAGGGTCTTTTCAGTCTCGCAGGGTGGCGCTGGGGATTCCCTGATGGGGTCAGCTGTGTGCCATTATCTCCTGGGAGCTGAGACTTCATTCGCCATTTGCAAAATCAAAAATCCATGGATTTATTTTAATGTGCACATATCCCATACGAGTGTCACACATAAATGCATGGTATTTGGCCAGCGATACGATTTAAACTGGCAAATTTCCAGGTTTGGGTGTAGACTTATGACCAAGAGATCTGCATCACATTACCGTTCTTCTGTCAGCCTATAATCAGTTGCTGAAGTCCACCCTGTCCCAGGTGGATGTTTTACTGGGCATTGCTTGGTTATCCTGCTTGCTGTGTTTGTTTGGTGTGACTGGGAGGCAGTTCCATGTTTGGACACCCAGTGATGCACTGCTAGCCACCCTGAATGTCTTATTTACACACTAAGATGGTTGCTTTCTGGCTTTGGATACACATTTCAGGAAAGAGGCCACTAGGAGAATGGGTGTGAGTGGAAATTCTACTTTTTGGTGTTCTGTGTCTGGGTACGTTCACTGCCAGGAAAAAAACAGGGAATATTTGATAAAGCTCTTATCTGGTATTTATGTTGCATTTGAGAATCCTAGACAGTTACATTTATTGAGCAGATATTTTTCTCAGAAAGCTGGGCCTGCCTGTGTCCCTGGAGCCATTGGGGTTGTCTTGCTCCAAAAGCCCGATGGTGAAATCGCCCTGCCGACCACGGGATCTGAACCGTTGACCTTCCGATCGTGTGCACGGTGCCCTAAACCGCAGAGCCGCACATCAACCCCACTGACAGCTGGCGTTCTCTTGCTTTATTCTAGGAGGATGAGAAGTGGAAGGACTTTGAGCCGAAGGCGGTGGATTACAGTGGGCTTCGGGTGCAGGCCCTGCAGCTGAGGTGAGGCTCAGTACGCAGAGACCCATCATGGTCCGGGGTCTCCCTGAGAGGCACCGGCACATCGACTTCAGATTTAAGCCTCTGATTTTAGTATTAATTCATATACAGCAGTTCAGGTGAAGCATGATGGTATTGTTTTTAAAGTTAAAGAATATAATGTTCAGACTGATTTTTTAATTTATTTTTTTTAAATGACCTGCCATGTTCATGCATGCTGCTGTTATCTGGGGAAAAAAGAAAATGGTTACAAGCAGACTGACACCCCCATTGCTTTTCATGCTTTGCAGGCTATAAGTGTTGTGAAAATGAATGTGTGCCCCTTGTTTCCCTAACTTCTGCTTTCCATTAGTGATGAGAAGGAGGAGGAGGCGTATGAGAAGGATGAGCTGGGGGAGGATGGGCAAGTCCATGTGTATCGTGGGGAGAGGATTTCGGGGCCCTGGAACAAGTCTAGTGCTGCCCCTGTGGTGGCCGCGCCCGTGGGTGAGTGGGGAGGCTGGAGCCACACTGTCTGGGTGATAGGAGTCTCCGTGGGTCGCCGCTGATTTGCCTTGGTCTGCCTCTGCAGAGGAAGTGGAAGTCGTCGAGCAAAAGCCAGGAGGCGTCTACAGGCCTCCAGGGGCCCGACAGACTGGCCCAAAGCGGGGGACCGTTCAGGGGCCCCCTGAGATTTTCAACGATGCTCAGTTTCCCTCACTGCTGTCGACAGCTAAGCACACGGAAACCCGCAAGTAAGTGAAGAAGGGAGGCTGCATTTGCAGTGTGTGGTCCGTTCAATCGATTTCATAGATATAAAGGTGTGTTAAGACTAGAAAACCAAAAAGGCCTCATTATACATTGCTGTTAAAATACAGCTGCTTTGGGTGAGCTCCAGTGGGCTAGTTTTGGTTCTTTTGGAGACCGAGAGATTGAGAAGACATTTGAGGTAGTTAAACTCATGAACCAGGTTGGGGAAGATGTAGGCGGAGTCCCCTTGCAGCAGTGATAGCTAGATAACCAGTATGCCATTCTGGGGGCAAGTAAGCTCCAAAGAATGCCCCCTCCCCCACCCCCCACCTAACTTTGCCCTGCCATTTCCACAAAAACAAGGCAGACCCAAGACTAGACCTGATCTAGCCCACGAGAAGCCCTCCCTTAAGGTGATCCTGGGGGCCATGCTAGGAGGGATTATAAGTGATGATGTTCATATTTTGTGCTGATCTGTTGTGAGCAGAAGTGGAGCATTTGTTTGCCTGAATTATCGCAGGACATGTCTGAAGGCCAAGGTGGATATCTGAGGTGCAGGGTTGGCCCTCCTTCCGGGCCTCCACAGTCTGGATTCTGCGTCCCGGGAATCCCTGTTGCAGGAGGACTCACTTGCTGCTCTAGTTTATCAACCAGAGGAACACCTTTCCCACCTGAGAAGGACACTAGTGAAAGGAGGTTATAGTCTGCTTTGTGGAAATTGACTCCTAAAAGTGGCCTTACTGGAAGACCCACAGTGCCATGCGCCGTTTGTGCTACGGACAGCGGCCTGCTCTCGGATCCAGCCGTGGCTCAGCATAATCGAGAGTGTTACCCGGAACCCAAGACAACAGCTGTCGTTTTGTTTTTTTTATTTTCTTAAAATTGTTGAAGAATTTGATGGCTAGCATAAGTTTTATCCTACCTTTGAAGTCTTCTCGTCTCACGGACAGTGTCTTAAAATATGAGCCTTTGCTTCCCTGTTACTGTGTCGTCTTTGCTCACACTACAGCATGGTTTCATGGGGTATTTGGGGCTGGACATATGGCATGTTGGCTGTCACAACCACCTCGTATAGCTCCCCATCCCCCCATCCCCCCCGAAGCTGCACTCAAATGGCCCTAGTACCTCTTATGAAATGCACTTCTCCTTTGCTGGAACCTGAGGTCAGACGGCACTGTCTGATTTCATGCTGGGGGGTGGAACCTGACTTTTTCCCTTCAGTGGGTATTAAAGCGGAACCCCTCACACATTACATGTGCCAGCCTCACTATTGGACGCCTTGGGAAGGGAGCCTGCCATGGTTCTAATGCCAAGATCAATTTGGTTTTTGGTGCTTCTGCTAACTAACTAGAGACAGTTTGTCATGAACGACTTGTGAAGGTCTGGTGGAAATGTTCAATAAACAGTCTTGGAATCTTCATTTCTCTTTTTTAAAGAACATAAGAACATCCATTTTATATAGCAGTACTCTTGGAAGTCATCCAGTGTAATGTCAGTGTTTTGTTTTTTTTGTAGTTTGACCCAGAAACACCAGATTTCTGTTAGAAATAGCATACTGTTAATCACCTGGGCTGCTGTGTGTGGTTGTGTTGAGGTAGAACTGCCTCACTATTGCCTACCTTTGGTTAACACGACCATGTCATTAAGCTGCCATTATGGATGAGTGTTACATTACATATAGCACTTCACAGAAGCAATTGGAAACCATGTCAGCCACCACCACTGTGTAGCACCCACCTGGATGATGCAATGGTAGCCATTCTGCACCAGTACTCTCACCACACAGTAGCTAAGGTGGGGAAGTTGCCAATTAGCTATAGGGGATGATTAGGAGACCAGGTTTGAAAGGACCACAGTGACCAATTTTAGTCAGCACATCAGGGTACCACCCCTACTCTTTTAAAGAATACTCAGGGATCCTTTATGATCTCAGACAGTCAGGACTTTGGTTTTACATTTCATCTGAAGGACAGCACTATTTTTACAGTATAGTGTCCCATCACTGCACTGGGGAATTGGGATCCACACAGATCACAGGATGGGCTAACCTGTTGGCCACATCAATACCTTGTCCAGCAGCAACCCAGCTTTCATAGTTGGTTTCCCATCCAACTAATGACCAGGCCCAAATCTGCTTAGCTTCAGAGGGATCACCCAGTCTGAACTGCAGGTTGTATGGCTTCTGACATTAGCTGAAGACCCAGCACAGGAAATTCTCTTAGTCATTCCCAGAAGGACGCTAGGTTTCAACACCCTTCACCTCGACTGGTTTTTGGAACCTGCTGTGAAAAAGTGACACCGTTTCAGTTCTGGTTTGCTTGTCAAGTCTCGCTGTGTTTTTCTTTATTTTGCTTTTCTCATTTAGATTAATTTGGATCCCGTGCTCCTTTCCAAAGAAAAGTGTGGATGCTGAACAATGAAAGATGCTGAGCCTGGCTGCTATGCAGGCGATACTGAGTGGCGACAGGGCTACGCTGTGATGCCCCACATTACTGGATCATACATAGCGGGTCTCATGTCTTCTGCACATGGTGCCCGATCTGGTAAATAAGCACTGGGGTCACACTACGAGCCACCCAAATAGCCAGTCATTCCCACCATGACGCAGCTCACGGTGGGAATGACTGGTTATTAACACTCCCTCCACAAATGACAGCCTCCTACTGCAAAGTCAGGTTATTGTTGTTATTCTTATAAGGAGTGATCTTCAGGCAGTTGCATTTCCAGAGGCTTTCATTTGATTGTGGTGACTAGGCGTCATCCTAGAGATCACTGCACTCAGGCTTGGAGCTAAATCGCCGTGTTTTGAGCCCGACATGAGGGAAGAGCAAACGTGGTTTTGGGAGGCATCTGGGGGGGAGGAATAACGCATCCATGCAGAAGTTCCATAAATTGCTTTATTTTTCTATGGCATAGGTAGATAACATGTAGGGGATTCCAGTCAAACTGAAATACTAATGACTGAAATGACCTGGGCCAGTGTTTCTCAACACAGTCCGAGGGGACCTACGTTTCTGCTCCCTCCCAGCTCCCTGACAGACATTTTTAGAGCAAAAACATGGACCGTCTGGGGGTCCCCAAGGACTGGTTTGAGAAACACTGACTTGGACAACGTAAGAATGATTAAACAAGTCAGGGAAAACAAGCAACCTAAAAAAGGCCAGTTTAAAAACGTTAAAGATATTCGGTGCTAATCCACTGTGGCCTTTCCGACCTTCCTCTCATCCTGTTTGCCACTTGACAACCTGGTGAAGACATTTCATCACATCAGCGTACTTGGCATCTGATTCAACTATAAAACTCTTATAATCCTATCAATCATAGTAAAAATACCTTAGTTCTCAGAAAATGTCGTTGTTTAATGTGCATGTCTTTCATGTGTTGTGTGCTTTATTATTGTGTAACACTGTGCACAGTGAAAAGAAGCCTCACCATTCACACCGAATTATCTGCTCTGGCGTCACTTTGAGGCAGGCAGAGCACATCATTTTTAATTGAAGGGCTCAAAACTCACTCTATCAGCCCAGACGTGTCACGGGTGGGTTTCCTATGACAGAGAAGCATCCGGAACAGGGCCGCGGCCTCTTCTTAGAGGGGGGAGGAGTAGCTCTCCCCCTGTGGGTCTGCTCGGTGGTCGCCTGAGTCCACTGTCCCTGCATACGACACGAGTGAGACCATGGGGAGACTGCCTGCCCCAACGTCAGCCCCCTCAAGAGCTACCATCAGATTACCTGCAGCTCTCGTTCATGGGGAGTGCTCGCTGCATTTTCATCCCACACGGTTGGGGTAGTCAGTGGGGTCCTGGCTGTGGACCTTTCCTAGTTGGTAAAAGGCTGTTTTAACAAGCTGACAGTGTCTTCAAGTTACACCAATTTACATAAAGTATGGATGGTAACATATATTGAGCATGGAGGTTAGGATGACTTTAAAAGCATATACTGACTGCTACCTATACTGAACCAAATGAAGCCCAACTCAGAAACAGGCATTATAATTTATTGCTGTTCTGCTTCCCCAGAAAATGGTTCCTCGGGTTTGACAGTTGGAGTCAAACCCACAGGACACTGCGCACCTCCATACTACACAGCTGGATGCACACCCACAGGACACTGCGCACCTCCATACTACACAGCTGGATGCACACCCACAGGACACTGCGCACCTCCATACTACACAGCTGGATTCACCCACAATCCTGCAGCAGCAGTGCTACTGAAAAGTTTCTGAAATCAGCTGTTTGGAGAACTTGCATTTCACCGAAAATGTTCATGTCTTTTCCCAAGGGAACATTCATCCAGGTAACATCATTTTGTAAAGAGACTTGTTTTCCTGCCAAAGAAAACTGTCCTAGCACCACAGCCCTATAATTCAACTATTCTTCAGGTTGTAAATTATATACTTAGCGGAAAATACACCAGATATGTCTGTCAGCCTGCCTTTAGCCCATAAGTATAATGTATCTCAGTGATGATAAGGTGGCCATGTACTTGTCCGGCTCATTTCAAAGTACAATAAAGACAAGAGAAGCCCCGTTAATTCAAAAACTAAACAGAAAGAACAGAATGGCAGCATCTGCGCTCTGGGACACGGGGCATCTTCATAAAGACTCACCTTCGGTGGTTCCAGTCGGTTTGTTGTGCCGCTGCTTTCCACAGGGAAAGCAGACAGCGCCGAGGCAAAGGCGAACAGGCAGAGAGCAGCCAGGGCAGCTTTCATTGTGCGCAGCTGGGAGCCGCCTGCGCAGCACTGAGGGACAGCGGCAGGGTGGGCGACAGTGTGTGATCAAGACAGCCGGCGGGCTGAGTGTGACTGGGGTGGCAGTGAGGTGATACTGACCAGGGATACAGAATGTCCCTCCCCTTACAAACAAGGGGACGGCTCACTGGAGACCCAAAGGCAATGGTACAATCCCAGTTAATACCAGTTTTAAATAGTTTCATGGTAAACTGCAATGGGGGGGGGGAAATAAGCTATGATTACTAATTGTTGGGTTTTTCTGTATTAAAATTAGCCCTATATCAACAGATGATAGGGTCACATTATTTGAGAGCTAAAACAAAAACAATCACTTAATGGTTTTAGGGATTTGGTTTATCAGGCCATAAATGTACCTTTTATTATATGCCTAAAATGTATGCACCGTAATTTAACTTCTGACATTTTTCATTGTACCAAGTTTCAGATAATTTATGGCCTTCTCATGTAGTTCAGAAATGTGGGAATCAGACCTTAAAGGCTTTTAAGTTCTGTTATCCAGATTTCCAACTCTCACGCATCTGGCGCTACAGTCACATTCAGATTCTGACGCTCATGCACGAAATCTTACGGCAAATCTACATTATTCCATTAAAAACCTAAAATGAGCTACACCAAAAGCGTCAGGACAGCTTGCAAACCTTACAGACCATTTACAAGGCAATATAAATCTTACATACATGTAAATGTGTGTGCAAGCTCCTCGAATTGAAAATCTCACATCATCCAGCAGACCGAAGTCGGCAACCCTGCATGATCACCGACGTAAATCATCCCTGCACATTTTGGAACGTGGTTAAATCTTAAATGGAATATAAAATCTTACCCTTTCCACGAACACACAACCAAGACCAAGTCTGTCATTAAGTGATTAGTTCTGGAAAAGACATCAACACATTTCTCACTCTTTAATGAGAAGAACCTGGAAACAAAGAGCAGGCTCTTATTCAGAGGTAGGTACACAGACTTGGGTGGGGCATGGAGGGACCCACCGTTCATCTAACATTCAGATTCATATGGAATTATAGCGACGTAAAAATCCATTTGCAGGGTTAGGCACCACAACAGCAACCAGAGTTGAAATATTAAAGTAAATAAATACAAAGTCTGAGGTACAGTACCAAATCTTAATGTAAAAATACTGCAATCATGATGCCTATAGAGAAATAAAAAAGCAGGAATGACAGCGGAATCAATATTCTAAAGTCACAGTAGTTAACTCATGTGAAATATGCAACATACTGTGCAGCAGAGAGACACAGAGTTGTATGTACACAAGGAGACTGACAGTCCCAAGCTCAGAGTGGAATTTTCACTATACAGGCTTCCTCGCCTCGACAATCATTAGATAAGCAAGCAAGACATTAACATTACCGTAACACTTGTGTGTCTGTAAACTGACAACTAGAGGCATGTGATACAAGTAGTGGGAGTCAGACCCGGCCACGGTGATGCACTTTGGTCCTGGAATGATCAGAAGATATGTAACGCCCAGCGGCATAAAGGCTATCTAAGAAAACAAAAGTGCTGGAAGTTTGGGTCTAATTCTCATCCTCAGCTCCAGGACCTAAACAAAGCAAGGCCACGTCCCGTACAGACATCAGCACGCCACTCTGCATGTCAGTTTCAAACTCCAACAAAAGCCGCCGTTTGCAGAACCTCCACCACAGGCACCCTTTACATATGATAAACGATGATTCTGCTTCAACGTTAAACCCAACATTTGCTGTGGTCATGATCATCATATAAGTCTCTTTAATTGATCCCATGTTCCTCCCAGCACCAGTCAGCCTATCGCTGGTCCCCTTGGTGCAGTAGTACCATTTTATCCCAAATCTTTGCTCCCAGTTCATGAGCGACACCTCCTCTCATCAGCAGCTGATCATCCATCGGCGCCATCATGGCGTCCCTGGTGTCATTTCCAGCACCCTGAGGACCGAAAGCCCTCATTTCCCCCCCCCCCCACCCCTGCTTGCCATCCTGCTACACAGCGACGATACATCTGAGGAAGGTCCGAGATGATGAGGGGCTCATCTTCAGATCCTGATTCAGCTCACGCTTGGGCTCCGTCTTCCACACGCAGCCTTGAGGGACATCTTCAGTTCTTCGTCTGTCCTGAAAACTCACCGTCTTCAAACCCGTGCAGACCTGACACGTGAGTCAGAGACGCTGACGGAAATGTAACCGGCCCAATCAGCACCAAATTATTTCTTCCTCTCAAGGAAGGAGGGCAGGCCAATCAGATAGATACATTATTAATTACACTGACGTCCGGAAGTCCAGGAGAAGTTACCAGATAATAAAAAGTAAAAACATAGTAAAAAGAAAAATGCAAGGAAGGACAGTCTGCTTGTGTAGGGCTAGGCTGGCTGGAGGGGTATACACCCAACTCCCACCCCACCCTCATGACACACCATAGGAGCCATGTAAGACCAACGGTTCGTCTCTGGGTCGTACATCTCCACTGAATTGAGATTAGACTGTCCGTCGTAGCCGCCCACAGCATACAACCGGCCGCAGCTGGCTACCAATGAGACCCTGCTGCGGCGTGTGTTCATGGCCACTAGATGGCTCCACTGGTCTGCCACAGAGCTATACACCTCCGCGCTGCTCAAGAATCCCGAACCGTCGTATCCTCCCACAATGTAGAGCTGGCTGCCGAGGGCTGCGGCGCCATGGCGACACCGTTTGTTCGTCATCCCCGTCACCAGGTGCCACAGGGCCGTGTGCTGGTTATAGTACTCCACCTGTTGGAGGATGCTTGCCATGTAATCAAATTTACATTTTAGCCCTGATCCCTAAGCTTTAGGCTTATTATAAAACAACTGAACCTGTAGCAGATATACATTTTTTTTCCCAGCAAAATTCAGCATTATTATGTCATGTTTCTGGATTCCTGACTGACCGTGTTGAAGATCTGAAGACCATCATGACCGCCTGATACAAAAATTCTCCCATCAAACACCGTGACCCCAGCTGCACTGCGACTCGCCGTCATCTCCGTCACGGCTGTCCACCTGAAAACATTCAAATACCAAGAATGCCCTGTTAAATGGCCGGTTAAATGTAAAGTGCTTTGTGACAATGACTGTTGTTAAAAGCACTATATAAATAAAATTGAATAGATTTTTTTTTTTTTTTTATCATAAACTGAACTGAACTATGTCTCATAAAAACATGGATGTCAAACGATATCAGCCAAAAATGTCATGACTCCTGAATCAAAACACCAGGTGATCAAGCATTTCTACTTTAAAATAAGAAGTTCAACTTCAATTAAATCCAGCACAGCAAAAGTTCTGTTTAAACTGAATTTAGGGAAATGAAAACACAAATGTTCTGAGCCCTCTGTGTGGTCTGAAGGGTGTAAAGAGTTACATCTCGTTTCAAAAGGCCATTGTGCCACGTGAAAGAGGCCGTGAAGTTCCACTTCATCCAAGAGAGTGTTGCACACAGACCTGTCAGCTTCGGGAGAATAGCACTCCACAGAGCTTAGGGACGACTTGCCGTCGTAGCCTCCGCACACATAGATGAGTCCGTCCACCACCACGGTGCCCATCGCACTGCAAAGAGACGCAAAAAAATCAGTGTCAACCATCATGCTTCACATTCACTCAGCTGGACGTACCAGCACTAAACACGCCAGACCAGTTTAGTCAAGAACCAAAAAAAACAAAGTTCAAATACAGTATTGGGTTGAGTCAGTATTCTTCTGCCACACCAAATTCCTCACCTGCGTTTGCTGTTCATACTGGCCACCTGGGTCCAAGTATCCGTCTCTGGGTTATAAACCTCAACGGTGCTAAGCCGTGACTGGCCATCGTATCCTCCAATGGCGTACAGAAGTCCGTTGACCACTGCCACGCCCACTCGACTTCGGGTCGTGCTCATTGGCTGACAGCGCTCCCAAAAGTTCCCAATTGGGTCAAACATCTCTACCACGTTTAGAGAGTCGCCTGTAACAGATGCAGCATTTTAATACTGTTGAGATGCTGGATACTGCAGTATAAGCTGGTATCTCACAGCTCTTTGCTCAAACAAGCTATCGACTAATCAGAAAGGGCTTCAGAGTTCTCAGTTCACTACTCAGCCCATCAGCGATAATGATACCTGCACTGTTCAACCCCCCCACTGCATAGATGAGTCCTGCGATGGAGGTGCAGCATCGTTGCCGTGTCTTGAAGGCTGGCAGGTGGGGACGTCGCTCTGGCATCAGATGGTAATCTTTGGCTTCGTCTACCAGGTCTCTGTTCACAGAGGACAGCTCCAAGATCAGTCCGGGGTCACAAACCCACCATGTACTGAGAAATGACGTTTCATTTTCATGGTAAGGGAAGACGCGTCGGCAGTGGCCTGAACCTCACCTGCACTTGTGGCAGCATCGCACCAGGTCGTCCTGCTGCACGCGGTCGGCCAAGAACTGGGGGCGGCACAGCGGCAGTCGAGTCTTGGCGAGTAATTCTGGGAGGAGCGAGCCGCGCAGATCTTGGTCGTGCCGGACCCATGCTAGCACTGCCTCGAACACCTGCCCGGGTACAAATCGAGGGTGAGGCCAGCGCAAGGAGGCACAAGGGGGACACAATTCTAAAGGGTATAAAGCAGGTCTCTTTCAATCTGGCCCTCGATTCCAAATCCAGGTCGTGTTTTCAGTTCTCCCAGGTAGTTAGTTTAATAATTACCGATTCTGATTGGCCACAGACGCGTCACATGTGGCTCATAGGTAAAGTAAGGCTGGAAAATCGCCAGGGCTCGGACCTTGAGGACCGGAATTTAAGCCTTGAACACATGCCGAGGTTTAATTGAGGGCCAAGTCAGTTCAAGGGGAACACAAAACGAAAAGTTCTGAAGCCGAATTAATGACTTTCAGTTTACTGCGTAGTCAACACACTGCTGCCATTAAGAGCTAGCAGCATGTAAACATGTAAACAGCAGAGTCACTGACTTCCAGTGAACTTAACCAGATTCTTTGACTGGTCATAACAAAGAAGCCAGGCTGCCTGCCAGTTCTACCTGTTCCTCAGCCTTGACATTGAGCTCATCGCAGCCAACCAGCTCCAGCAGTTCCTCCACTTGCAGAGCCAGGAACTCCTCCGACATGGAGACGTCCACAAAGTGCTGGTGAACGAAGCTGTTGGCTGCATCATACAGCGTGGTGCACATCATGGTCTCCGCAAACTGCCGCACCCCCAGACAGTTCTTGGGATGCAACCTTATTAGCACAGACAATGAAAGAGTGGGACTTAGATAGCTGCCATCATTTGACTGAAACGTGAGCCGCTTCACTGATCTAACCACGTTTTGCATAGGAAAGGCTAGGGTCAGGGTGAGATTAGTACAGGCGGGGGAAGGGGGCTCACCTCTCGCGTAGGAAGGAGCAGCATGCGTCCTTCACATTCTGCAGCTGCAGGAAACTGGCACCAATCAGAAGAGACTGCACGTTCTGCTGGTCGATGGCCACGTGACCGTTATAAGCGAAGTTAATCAGGGCCTCGAGTGCACTGAGAGGGGAAACAATCAGAGGCTGTCAAACAAGAGATTCTTGTGCAGAATGGAGTTTATTTCTGCATCTTAAATAATGCACATCAGGAGTTCAGTCCTTCAAAAACCAAATATTATTATTATTATTATTATTTTATTATTATAAGCACAACATTTTATATACTATACATGTATCAAGGTGAGCCATGTCACATAGTCCCACTAAAACTGAAAAACAATCATTTAAAGGAAGTATAAAATCTTGTCTGACCACCCAGAATTTTTTTTTCCCCGTGTCATTAGTTACCGTAAAATGGCAGTTATATTAACCACAGTAGTGAAATTAACTAGTGTGAACACAGGTGAACAGGCCTGGCCTCATAAAAATGGAGAAACGAAACGGGAAGTTTGTGGTACACGGCCTACCTGGGGTCCATGCCCTGCATGATGATCTCATCTTGCTTGCACTCCACCATGTCGTTGGTGAACATGGCGTGGAAGTACGGGATGGAAGCAGCCAGGACAATCCTGTGGGCACTGAACTTGTGGTCTCCGACCTGCCGGGACGGGGGAATGTTTATACAGCCATGTTTCTACTTTAAAAGAAGAAGCTCAGAAAAACACTAAAATCTCCTGTCGTCAGTCACCCTAATGTCCACACCACACATTCATTATTCATCAGCGGGATGAAAGAATGACTCTTCAATACAGTCTTTCTATCAGCTGATTAATCTTTTAACACCTCGAACATGTTGTTTTACAAGAGAATTAGCATTGATTGGACAGCGCTGAGTGGTAACACGCAGGCCTCTGGATAGAGGCTTTCTGCTTATAAAGGTCAGGCTTAATTTAAAAAGGGGACGGTGTTCCAGGAGAACTATGTCCAGTTCTCCAGTGACAGTGAAGTCGGAGTGCAGGAAGGTTGTCATGTCAGCTTGTTAAAGGGACAATTTAGAGTGTTTCAGCGTCACCTGATCCCTGGGGATCTGAATCGCCGCACTGGAATACGAGCAACCAGACGATGCTAACAAGTGGGCAGACCAGGTGGGCTCTTCAACAGAACATTTTACTGGTTCATTTACTCTGAGATCTGACACTGTTGTGCCAAAGAGACAAGTCATCAAAACTAGCCAACCACCCCCTGAAGATGTGCTGCTCTGCATTGGCGATTTAGACACATCTCCACCTGAACGAGAATGGAACAGATCATTTTAAATCTCATCTACCCTCAGTCACATTTGGCCTTAAAGCACTTCTCAGTTTATTTGAACCTACCGTCTAAAGGATGTAACATAGTAAAAAGCCTGGCAGCCAATAGCTCGAGCATATAGTTGTGGCTCCGTCCGTCTCCATTACTGAGCCCGTGGGAAAGCAGAAAGGGGATACGGGTGGCCTGTTACACAGGGCACAGTGCGTGTAATCCACCGTTAAGCAGGATAAGACGGCAGAGGAAACAGACGCAAGCAGCCCAGGAGCTCCTGCATTTCTTCTAACACAAAGCACTTTGATCCTTAGGATTAGGTCAAGGGCAACCAAGTATAGGAGCGGTCAGCAGATCCTTTCACGCAGAAAAAGGTGATGATACTGTGGCATAATGAATGAAGAGATGCCACTGGCTTTACGTCTGAAGATGGTCTGCTGTGTGACTCCCAGCCTTTTACGTTTATACAACAAACCAACGAATGAATAAACAAATAAATGAATTAATGAATTGTGTAAATCCTCAAAATATATTTCTAGTACACTGCACAAGACAAACATGGAGGATATTTCTGATAGAAGACCATTCCAATTACAAATTACTTTGCATCAAGAAAATAAAAGCAAAGGAGCAGACAGTTAAGGCTACAGACAGAGCAGTTTAAGTTCAATGCTGAATTGAAAGCAAGCTGTTACAGACAACAGCTTTCTTTTACAAACAACCATTCAGGTTTGTTCAAAATATACAGACAATGTACTGGATTCATTTAAGTCCAAGGTGTCAGATGTGTGCTCAGAAAAGGCAGTCAGATAGACAGTAAATAAAGACATCTTGAATGTCCAGTATACAGCCATGAGAGGCAGCCAGAGTCAGAGAGAGGCAGAGAAACAAGTGGCCATGACAGGTGGTCAGAGTCACTCGGAGCGAGACAGAATGAATCAAGTGGCCATGAGAGGCAGCCAGAGTCATTCAGAACGAGACAGAATGAAACAAGCGGCCATGAGAGGCAGCCACTCAGCGAGAGAGGAAAATCAGACAGGCCGGTGTAAAAGGCACCGCACGGGTATCATCTGCGCCCTTCTTCCGCAGTAAAGACGAATAATTACAAACCGATAATTAATGACCGCGATCCCCGGCGCCAAGACTCTTCCTTAGAAATGGCCACCCGGTGACACCCGTTGCTCAACAGAACTGGAAAGTTACAAACGCGATTATACCCGGCGACCCCCGTAAAGGGTGGATACGCGAAAAGCCCGTTTTTAAATGACAAACGATAGCCAGGGCCGGGTTGATGTCTCACCTTCAGGGTGACATCGCAGAGTTTCCCCTGTCGTCTGATTTCCTCCATCACCGCGTAGCCCCGATTAGGCAGGTCGTGGACGGAGAAATGAACCAAATCTTCCAGTTCTTCGAAAATCATATCTCCCATCTTAACTAACAGAGGCCACCTAACGAATCTAAATCGCCTAACGAAAGAGGACTGAGCCTCGCAGGACACCGTAGCCGCGTTTCTATAAAGATCTGCTTTTTGCTCTATTGTTAAGACATTTCAAATCGCCCAACGAAGGAGAGATGATCCTCACAGGATACCGTACAAGCGTTTCATTAAAGCTTTTTTGCTCAGTTGAACAATCTAAATCGATATGAGCCTCATAGGACACCGTACCCGTGCTTCTCTTAGATCTTTTGTTCTGTTGATGTAATATATTTAAAAAATCAAAACTGCAAAATGGTGGAAACCAGAGCCGTATAGCAGCCCATCCTTACACTGCGCACATCTGAACGAGGCACAGCGGTGGCAGCGCTTATTATCATTGTTATATGAATAGGAAACAGGATTATCCCCTTCAACAAGAGATTACATCTCAACAGATTAATACAAACAGCCGGCTATCGCGCACGGTTATAATTACGAATAGAAAACGTTTACTTTGTGGCGCATACAGATGTTCTTGTGAAGGCGAGAGGTGATTAACGTTCAGATTTTTGTTTAAATGACCATGTTTTAAAGCAACGTCATTTATTAACCAAGTCACGTGTGATTTCCAGTGTTTTGCATTTCGTAGGTTAGTTACATTTTCTAAAATTACAAATGTACATCTTCCCTGCTGTGGTCATCCATATTCTCTTGAAATAGCACCAGTCTGGATGGCAAAAACAGTGCAAGTAGTAACTTAAATTTAATTGGAATACAAAAATATCTATTCATCATGCCAAATGAGTTCAAAAGAAAAAATCTGAGTGAGGAAAAGAAGGGTGAAATTCTGGCTTTGCTAGCAGAGGGATTCAGTGAGCGTCAGGTTGCTTCCATCCTCAAAATTTCAAAGACGGCAGTTCATAAGAACAAGGTCAAGGCAGAGACATTTGGGACCACAGAGTTACAGACTGGCAGAGGGCGAAAACGACTCTCCACTGAGCGGGATGATCGTCAGCTCCTTCGAATGTCACGCAACAACCGCAGGATGACATCAAGTGACCTACAAAGAGAATGGCAAATGGCAGCTGGGGTTAAGTGCACAGCGAGGACGGTTCGAAACAGGCTACGGCAGGCGGGGTTGAAGTCGTGCAAAGCTAGAAAAAAGCCGACCATCAAAGAGAAGCAAAGAGGAGCCAGGCTGAGGTTTGCAGAAGACCATAAGCATTGGACCATAGAGGACTGGAGTAAGGTTTTCTTATCTGGTGAGTCCACTTTTCAGCTTTTACCATCACCTGGTCATCTAATGCATAGACTGAGACCTGGAGAGGCCTACAAGCCACAGTGTCTCGCATGTACTGTGAAACTTGGTGGATGATCGGTGATGATCTGGGGGTGCTTTAGCTAGGCTGGAATGGAGAAGATTTTTGTGAAGGATGCATGAATCATGCCATGTACAAGATGGTCCTGGAGGAGAACTTGTTTCCTTCTGCTCTGACCAATGTTCCCTAATTCTGAGGATTGGGTTTTCCAGCAGGACAATGCTCCATGCCACACAGCCAGGTCAATCAAGATGTGGATGGAGGACCACAAGATCAAGACCCTGTCATGGCCAGTCCAATCTCCAAACCTGAACCTCAGTGAAAACCTCTTGGTTGAAGGGGAAGATGGATGTTCCCAGGCCATCAAAAATATGGAATATTATATAGCACTGTATAACACATAGAGAATGTAATCATTAGGACACTATTAAGATGTAACCAGAAGATGCTAATGTAACCTGTAGAGATTGTGACCTTGTATCCTTTAGAGAATGCAATTACTGCTGCACAGTGTAACCAAAATAAGCATGTATCTGCACCTTATGTTAGCTTCGAAGTTTGTGAATCTGCATCTTATGTCAGCCTTGGTTGTATGAATATGCACCTTATGTTAACCTCAAAGTTTCTGTATCTTATGTTAGCCTTGGCTGTATGAATATGTACCTTAGGTAGCATTGCAGCTTATCACTATGTTGAAGGCTAAGAATATAATTAGGTCTGTGGCTAACCAGCCGACATGACCACTCTAACTGGGCATGGGCTCCGAGTGGGTTGGTATGTGGGTTGTGACTGGGGCTCATTTGGGCTGCCCAGGAAAGCATAAATGGTGTTCAGATGGGCAGCCCAGAAAACCTGAATATATGGGGCCCACATTGGCCCTTAATGGGTTTATTCTTGTGAACATAAAGTTCGTTCTCCTATTGCAAATCCTGTTCGTTTACTTTCTTTTAATTTCATTTGAAATTTCTATGTTAATGCCATTGAAAGCACTTTTCATGCTTTTACATATTGAATGTCATTTTGTACACAATACATGAAATGTTGAGAAAATCTCTTCTGTCAGTGTGTGGAATACGTATTCACACAACAATATCCTGTATCAGTGGAAGTACATTCCTTAAGCTTAGAATTTGCTTAAAGCTATAGTTATCTGTTCTCATATGTACTTCAGTGATTAACTCTCAATCATTCATACTGGATGTCATGTTAATCTAATGCATAGCTGGGCAATCTTATCCACAAAGGGCCAATGTGTATGTAGGTTTTTGGGATAACCATTAGGTTAGCTGTTCAAACCCAGGTGTGAGGACTCTTCAGCCAATCAGTTCTCTAATTAGTAATCTAATTAGGGAGTTGCTGCGAAAACCTGCACACACAGCGGCCCTTTGCAGATAAGGTTGCCCTCCCCTGATCTAATGCATGACATTATGGTATCAGCATCTCTCAAAGTTGCTGAACTAAGTCTTGCCTTCAGTTGAAATCTTGGTGGTGACTGGTGAAATTGGTGAAGTCCCGCTGCACATGAGACCACTGAAATTAACCAATCATGTATCACTCTTGCAAATAAATTAATGTACTATTGGCGGGCTTTCTTCAATTTTTCTTCGAAGGTTGGACAAGCATCAAACGTTCTCAAGGTGAGTAGAAATGAAGCCATGTAAAAGACTTGTGTAGAACACAATCTTCATTTGTATCTAAACCATTTAATTCTTCATATTACAACGTTTAACTTGTTTTATACACAAAAAATTGTATTAAGACTAGTACAGTTTACCCATGGTTTGGTATGTATCTGAGTTTTTGGGCCAAGGTAGTGGTAAGGTTTCGGTATCTTTATATTGAAGAATAAAATAAAAACATCACCCTTTAATTAAACAATGAACTCTTATTTTTCCATATAACCATATATGTAGCTTGGTAGTGATGTTTCCTAATCGGCATGATTTTAATAAATGTTACCTTGATAAATCGATATTATGGATCTTGCTTTACTGATATGTATTTAATTACAGATGTAATTACCTTTTTTTTAAAGAAAAATTTCCATAAATGGGCAGCGTGTGGCTCAGTGGGCTAAGCTTTGGTGCCTGTGATCATAAGGTCACTGGTTTGAGCTGATCTGTGGGTCCCTGAGCAAGGCCCTTAACCCCCAGCTCCCTGGGTGCTGCTATAGGCGGCTGTCCTTCACAGCCAGCTTGCACTCACCTACAGAGAGCAAGTGAGGGGAGGATGCTGGGAGGATGCTGGGAGTACGCACGCTACACTGCTGCATGTCTGGTTTAGTGGCCAGAAGTCGTACTAGGCTGAATTGGCGCACAGAAAAAAAAATTGATGTTGCGGACAGGAAACGGGAGCCCAACAAACACAATTTGGATTTACAGTCCTCTTCGTTTGTATGTCTGAAAGTTCCTTAGTTGAAAGTTCGTAAGTAGAGGAGCGTCTGTGTATGTGTGTCAGCACAAGGATTCTTTCTGTATTTGCCCTAATAGTCATTACTCATTTTCAATCAATATTCCTATTGAAACTGAGTTATAGTGGGTTATACATTTTTCTTTTTACAGCTATCCTGAAGCAGAAAACATCAATAAAAAAGGATATTGAGCATTCTCAATTTTTCACAAATGCTGGTGACCGTGACGGAAATCGTGCACTAAGAGCTCACCGGGACCTTCAAACGAGGACAGAATCTTCTGGGTATGTATCTGGCTGATTGTTACTATAAAGGCTCACTTCCCATTGGCATTAATGCAGTACACGTGCACAGATAGTTATGCAGTGAATTTTATGAATATGGGTAATGACTTGGAGAAATCGGTCCATGAAACTTAACAATATATAGGACAGTTGACCAAAATTTCTGACAAGAGAAACCCATCCAATAACTTAGTCTTTTCTCTTTGGCTAATTAAGGCTACCCCTGACCTCTCATTGCATGTTAAATGCCAACAGACTGTACTGAAAAAATCAGGTTCTACAAGGATAGTTGTGTACTATAAAATCAGAGAAGTTTAAACTATACGGTTTCTGAATCTCTGAGAAGTTTGCGGACATCAGCTCAATGAAAAGTAAACTTTATTTGCTGATCCACAAAATAGACTTCTTTGGTTGTACAAATTCACTAGTTACAGTCTTCAATGAACTACAGTTCCCGGCAGTCACCTTTCACCTCTCACCCTTTTAAAACGAAAGCTCTCAATGAGAATTCAATGAAAAGAAAGAGCAACAATCAAAACTATAATATAAAATGTAGTGTCATAAATCAACATTTAAAATTACCCAGAATTAAAAAAAAAAAACATTGCAGCTGAATTTCATTTGGCAAGAACAAAAAAAAGCTAAGATTAGTAAAATTAAATTCAAAAACAATTTCTGCCCTTGAGATAGCAGGGTAATTTAACAAACAGCTGATTATAAGTGTAAACTTTAAAGCTGGAGATATGCACAAAGAAAGATTGTTGAAAATGACCATCTCATCTGAAATCTGTATTAATTCTAATCCAAAAACTATGAGTCTTTTAAAATCCAGTACCTGTACATTATTCACAAATTGGCTTCAGATTAAAAAAAAATAAATAAATAAAAAGTACCTCCACCACAAATACGTAGGACCTAGTATTTTGGGGCCGGAAAAGTAAATTATGCATTTTAACCCTTTGACAAGTTCAGAATGGTACATATACAGACATGGTAACACACAGTTAATCTGGAAAGGCTTAGTACAACACAATCATGTAAAGCGCCTTGGGCTGACTCTGTTGTGAAAGGCGCGATATAGTCATAAACTGAATCCCTGAAAACAAATCCGACATGCAGTACCAGTAAAAATCTGGACACCTACTGGAAATCATTTGTTTTTCAACAAGATAACCTGAAGGGTTGCTTAGGGTCATGTAGTAAGAATTACCTTGTGAACACAGAATGAGATGGAGTGCAGTGACGGATGAGCCAGTTTGGGATGAATTGGATTGAAGAGTAACAGCAAGGTAGCCAACCTGTGCCCAGAACTGGAAGCTCCTGGAATGTAGAAGAAGCTTAGCAGGTAGCTACATGTGGCAGCTGGCTGAAAGGACGCCAAGAGTCTGCAATGCTGTCATCAAAGCAAAAGGTGGCTGTTCTGAATAGTCTCAATTTTGAACAGAATGAGATGTTGAACACTTCTCTTGGTCGTTGCAATATTTGCTATGTATTATTTCATTGTCTTGAAGCTTTTTACTATAAGGTGAATAACAGCTAAAATAGAGACAAATGCATTAAAACAGGTGTGTCCAGATTTTGTCTATGGAAGAAAGGGAGAATACTGCCCTTCTCCAGCTAGTTGGTAGTTCTGGAAGCTTTATGCTTCTAACCTTCAGTAAAGAGGGTTACAGGTGTCTCCCTCTATGAAATACATCAAAGTGTGATATGAAATCCCAGATGGGGACCATGGCATCTTAAAAGCGTTCAGCTGCAATATGACCAGACTGGGATGCTAACTGCTCAACGTTTGCACCCAGCCTACAGTCACACTAATGCACCCCTTCTGCTCTTAGTAACACAGGACCGCCGCAGGAATGGTGACCTGAACGACAGCGTCCGGCTGTGTGTCAGACTCCCACATCCTTGTACCATTTACAAAAATACAATTTAACATATAACTTTTTTAGCATATAACTTTCTTGTATTCTTCCACAGAATAGTCATTAATAATAATAATAATAACAACAATAATAATAAAAAGGAAAGGAAAAAAACAGCAACTAAAATCCAAACTGAAAAAGAAAACAGTTTGGTGGACCCTCCTTGTATTTGTTTTAAATAAAAAAAGAAATTTAAAGCAGAGGCCTCCCACAGTGGGGTGGGGGGGATGTGTAACTATGGTAATCCCCCCATACCAGCACCTATGCTGAAACTGCAGCTTTGCTGTGTGACACACTGTCATTGTGTCAGGCAGTGATGCTTCTGCTGCACCTTGCGTGGTCTGACGGCTGCAGTGCCTGCCTGCACTTGTGACAGGATCTTCATGGGTTTTTGCAGTTAGGGCCTCTGTGGTGTTACGTAGGCACAGCTGTGTCCAGGCTGCACCGGCCTTGTCTTAGTTTGCTCTTATTACTGTACAGAGCCATTTCCTCCAGGGCTGACGCTTCGGGCAGTGAAACGGGCAGCTCGGAATCGAGGTCCTCAAGGGGTCCTAATAATAAGTAAAAAGAGATACGATCGTCCATATAGATCAGTTTATTAATTTCATGACATCACACTGTCTTTAAAGAAGTGTGAAACTGCATGTTTTAAAGCGACGTTTCGATCCAGTGCTGTGAGGTCACAGTGATGCCTGCGTCTTACCACAATTAAACCAACACCAAACCGCAAGGAGGCTTCTTGCCTTACGTAACAGACTGACAAGGACCTCTCAAAAAAATGAGTCAAAATCAGTGTGACGACACATCCGTGCCAGTCACCCTGATAGTTTAAAAGCATAACGAGACCCAAGCACCACCAATGACGACATTCCCAGAGTTCCCTGGGCCTGTCAAATAAGCAGTTAGGTTTTCAAGATTCTCATTAGTTCATAACTGATTAATGATCAGAAAGCTGGTTTTATAATTTTCATTTCAATGGCTATTAATGCCATGGATAAAGTTAAAATATCAGAGGCCATTATGAGAAGATGAAAGTTAGTCTTGGTGCCCCAGGAGCTGATGGGAAATGCGTGTCATCTTTAATGCAGCACTACTCGATTGGCAAGGAAGCCCCAATGGAATCACCACCAGCCACTACCTTGATTTACCATGGTACACCAACTGCTCCCAGGATGTGTGTGCTAATATCAAATGGATCAATCAGCTCAGAATCACATGTGGAACAGTGTGCTGTATATTGTACATGTACTGTATGTATCCCCATAAGTCACAAACTGTAGATACTTTAGCCAAATACACCCACACCAGGAAGCCAAGAAGAACAAGGGAAATTACTGAAGAGCTCTCCCATTTGAGGACACGGAGAAATGCATTCAAATCCTACCAAAGTCTGACAGCTGTTTATCCAAGGGTGTCGCCTGGATCAGAGATAACGAAAATGCGATTGAGTCAAAAATAAATGTGAGTTATATGGGATAGGAAACGCCAATTGTTTAGGGACAAAGGTCTAGCTTGTTTCTAAAAACAATACACCGCAGAGCATCAATGACCAGTATCTGACTACTGATGAACAAATGCCTGTAAAATTTACAAGCACTCACAAGTATTCACACAATCCAGTTGTCAGTAATCATAGTAACCAGTACAAATCAAAATGATGAATAATCAATAGTGTTACTTGCTTATGGTAGCAGCATTAAAGTGATTCACTGATGACCCTGGTGTTGGTGATACTTTTACATCCACATCACTGTGGTTTCAGCTTAGCTATTCAACACCACATACTGCGCTCACAGAAATTACTGGGACACTTGCTTAGTTCAGTAAAAATATTGCAAAGTAATTGGTTTTATAAAAAAAATAATTACTTCATTAATTTGTTCAAAAAGAACATCTATCATATTAGAAACAACCAGAAGTAAAACATTCATTTAAAGTAGTAATAAACTGACACCCAAATTATAGTTCTAAATGAGCTGTTCTGAGGTAAAAAGTTAATCGGTCATCATTGGACGCTTTGTAATTAGTAACACCTTTAAAGTAACCAAACACCAAACATTTGTGTTTAGTATTCTTTTGGGAGACAGTGACTACAATTGCAATTAATAGCAAAATGGCGAGAACAGAACTGAATTATGACAAAGAAAATTTACTACAGAATTAAGCAAGCATTCCAAAACTTTCTGTGAGCATTGTATACTGACAAAATTACAACTAATATCAATACTGTGAACGGTTTAACCAGTCAATACTCACCATAACTACCGGAGCCATCAATACAGCAATTGTTGTCTGCGGTATCTGGGGCCTGCAAGAGAAGATAGCATGAGCAGAGAAGAACGGACTTCACTTCAGCATCTGCCTGTTTAGTTTTCTTTTTATCCACAAATTATTTAGCTAAAATAACCTTCCCAAGCAGCATTTCGCATCCAAATGCACAGCTGTCCTAAGGCAAAGTGGTCTCTTAGCCACCACATATTATACCACTTCCCGTCAAGACACCAAGTAGATAAGCATAAATGAACTGCACCCATAGCCACAGTGATGGCTGAATTAGCAAACCACTGGACCCTCTCATCCGCCGGCGGCTCGGCCGTCTGGAGCGCCGTGACCCAGAGGCTGTCTGACTATCAATACTTATGAACATGAGGCAGAAGTCCACTGAGGAATCTGTATTTATAAACAGCCACAGATAGTAACACTGGAAGCCAGGGACGCCGGTAAAGGCTGCGGCTGATGCAGCTCCAGCACACCGCAGCCGCTTTGCCACTCGGCGCATAAACAGAAGCTGCTCACAGCGCCGGGAGACGCCCACCAAAGATGGACGGGCAGATCCAGGCACTGCCAGCACCCCGTGGGCTAATCACCGTTAATCCCATTTCAAATTGAGCTAAATATCATTTGCCTACCTGCTTAATATCATCTACATAATTGCTGCTATCCTAGAGAATAAATGTATAAATATCACGCATTCAAGGCATTCAAGCAGGATATCCATCTTAAGAATGGAACTAGGACTGCATGATATCACGTCATGATATAAACAAGGTTATACGGGCATGGGCAATAATCACCAGGGCTTTACATGACCGGCGTAAACATTTGACTCAGGTTTTACTACTATACAGACATTTATTTAAGGCCACAGTTTGGTAAGCAGATTAGTAGTATACCTAAAATATAAATGAGAGGCGTAATGTGATGCTCATAAGTTAGTACTCCGTATAAATTCAATGTATCCTTATGTTTATTAAATTGGGATAAAGGAGCACGGCACATGCGACTGCTTCGGTAGATCATGGAAGCGATAAGCGCTGAAGTGGCGGTTAAGAAAGGGACAGATCAGCAGCCATGACGTCTTTAGAAAGAGGAGACCATGTGGATAAACGAGGTAAAAAGATGTTGGTGGTGTGACGGTACTTTTTGCAGTTTAAAGACCGACAAGTTCATTAAACATAAGGATACGTCGAATTTATACACATCGCTAACTTTTGGGCATCACAATACGCCTCATATTAATATTTTAGGTGCACTACTAATCTGCTTATCAAATTGTTTGTGTAAGTAAATGCCCGTATAACACAGAAAAGCTGGTGTCTGGACACAAGTTTATGGCCATCATCTATAGCGATGGTGATTATTGGGCATGCGCCACGTAACCCGAATGTGATATTGTGCAGCCCTAAATACAACAAGAGGTTACCTTCTGCTTTTAGAAGAAGCAAAGTCAGAACATCACACATAGCCGCCCACCTCTTTGTGGACAAACATCACATGATTTTAAAATTCAGAACCTGAATGCAAAGAACATTTCAGTATAAAATGAGGGTACAGGACTGCCAGGCAGCCTTACAGGTGTGGAACAGCATTTACGTACACAGTGCCAGATAGACAAACACCAAAGCAGGCTGACAACAGTGACAGGCAGCTCAGCGCAGAGGAATTCAGATGGACAGAAAGAGGAAGACAGACAATCCGCCCGTGGCCTCGAGATGCCGACCCCCTCTAGCAGCTGCCGTCCTTGTGAAGCCTTTTATCAACAGCAAAAGGCTCATTATAAATGCCCTCATTTACTGCGTGACCTGATTTATGGCCGGCATTAAGATCCTAATGGAAACGGGAGCTGGAGAGAGTCTGGTGTTCCCAAGAAAGCATACAATAGGGCAGAAAAAAAACCTGACACATTCCCCAAGCCCGAGAAACACAGTGCCAAAATGGAAGGGAAAACAGCGCTAATTGTGACACGGCTGCCATACAGGGCCCAGAAAGCAAAGGCATCCACAGTCCAGTCATCCGGAGGCTTGCGGGACAGGCGAGCCTGGGAGCAGCAATGAGGGCACCCAGACACTGAGCATGCAGGGATACCTGGATGTCGTACACAGGTTTGGAAGAAGGGATTGCAGCGAACTGTCGGTAGTCAAACTTCTTTTCTGTCAGGGACTAGAAGGGACAGCAAATAGGAATGAATGAAGAAAGGTGGAGTGGAGCGATGTGGCTCATGGGGCAGGGCTGAAGCGCCAAGTGTTGTGTGGGCGGGGCTTACACGTGATGTGGGCAGGGCTAAAGCTTAGTGCTGTTAGGAGCTGTGGACAGTAACCATGGTAACATGGGGATAGTGAATTCAACTGTGTCATATCTCCTGTAAGATCTTCCAGGTGACAATGACAAAGGTTACAATAACAATTCCAACTGAATAATTCTACATGACGTGACAAATGTTGCTTTTGTACGTGCTAAAATACACAAGGCTGCGGAACGGTGGTTTCATTTCACACGTGAGCGTTTATCTATGGCCTGGTTCGGAGGCACGCAAAGACAAAAATGTCTCACTACTCCTCATTCTCCCTCACCTCTCACATCGGCTATTGGATGTGGGAATAGCTTCCAGAATGGAGGGACACTAGAGGGAAGGAGGGAGGGGAAAAGGTAGGGGGGCGTACACATCCTCAAAGGATGAACTGAGCAGCTTTCTAAAAAAAACTCAGAAGCGGTAAAGTCAGCTTGTAGCATTCAGTAATGTTTATGTGGTAAATCAGCCTTACTGCTTCAGTGTGTCTGACTGTGAACATGAAGACTCAGAAGCACAACCATCGCCCCAAAAACAACAGTATGACCCAAAGTTACAAGCTGACAAAGTTTCTTGGGTATATTTTGTGGTGGCGGGGAAATACAATAATCAGATCTTACCTGTCTACCTGGTGATCTGACACTTTGAGGACTGAAATCTGTAGACAGAGATGAACAGGAAAGATAATCAAGAGCTTCTATCCAACAGCAAGAGCACAAAAGTAGCGTCCGCTCATTTCTGGCTAATGTGATTAGGAGCATTGGGGGTATTACAGAAGCACAGACTGACCCTCCAGGGGGGTGGGAGAGCCTGTGGAGGCAGGCGATGGCGAGTCGGCTAGCCGGTCCAGAGCGCCGGGTTTCTTGCCGTCCCGTGACTTGGCGATGACCATCTGCGCTTTGAGGGCATCCTGCTCCAGAGATTTCATCCTGGGAAGAGGGGCAGGGGGGGCGTGGGGGGGTGATGTCAGGGGACATGTGAGACGACAGAGCAGTGAAGGTGGGAGAGGATGGTGACGTGGAAGATCTCAGATAAAGCAAGTGCCTGCCCCGCTCCATCCCAATGCCCCAGCCAAAGAAGCCACACTTATAAACTATACCTGGTACCGCATAACCCCAGAACCAAACACACCAAGAAGCAGGGAGGGAGTCACATCCACAACCATGGAGGCGTGGGAACACAGTGCCGACCTACAGGCTACGACATCACCCTGAGTAACGGGAGATTTACCCTAGCAGGGAATAGACAATCTGTCCATAGAATGGTCTAAAATGTCTAATATTTTCATCACTTTGGGCTTGTAATGCTTAAAATGGGCTTTATATGGAAGTAGGGTTTGGGTCCCACTATTACCACAATATAACCCGTGTCTAGGTTTGGTTGGTCACTGCCCACGACACATCCAGGAAAACCAGCCAACATGGGCTGAGCTGGCCACACACAGACAGGTCCAGTGAGAAACACCTCTCCATCCATCCAGGGCCGTGTGATGCCTGAATATCAGGTGTGTTGTGTGTCCTGTGTACCAGCTGGCTACCTTTCTGCTCTCCACCTGGCCCTTTTCTCCACCTCCATCGCTCGCTTCTCTGCAGACGACAGCTCCCTGTCAGAGGTGCCGGCCTGCAGTTCGGGGTCCCACAGGTGGAAGGGGGGGCTGGACTCGTCGAGATATAGAGGCTTCAAGCTTCTGTTAACGACAAACATCTAAGAGCCCTGCGCACGTGCAAAGCTATCATCTCAATCGAATCTCGAAGCAAGCGCCTGCTTGTACTGCATGTATTTAGATTTCATACAAGAGCGAGGTTTCAGTTCTCTTCTGAAAATGAGCGTGTTTAAGCAGTTTCTGAGACTGTATCATGCTGTAGTTCAAGCACTTTCTAAAGGAAAAGCTTATGTTATTGATACTGATCAATGTCATTCACCAAGCACATTCTGAAAAATGTCTAGAAAATGTTACCCCGTCAAAGAATTGGGTCTCTGCTCCAGTTTCGAGCTGCCGTCAAGCGAGTCCCTCTGAGGAGATCCATTCCTGTCCAAGAACAAGGGCCTGAAAAGGCCGACTGTGATTATGGCGTGCCCCATGCACACAGAGGCTGAACATCAGCAGCTGTGCCAAGCGGCTGTGCATTAACACAAGGATGTTAAGGGCGGCTGTGCATTAACGCAAGGGTCTTAAGGCCGTACCCGGTAATGGACGGGGTGCCACAGATCTGGGGCGATGGCCCAGTCAGTTCTTTTTCAGGAGTCTTGTACGCTACTCCATCCAACAGATCCTTGCCCTGGGCCCTTATTTCAGCCATCTTCCTGGCCAGGACTATCTCCTCTTCATCGTCTTCATCCTCATTTAGTAGGTACCGCTGGGAATGCTGCTGAATCCATCGGGCTGGTATGACAGGCAGATGGACAGCAGAAGCGGAACTTATTAAACTTAACAGGCTGGATCTTTCAGTTAGTCCAAGTGGCCAAAGTCAATTCTCCTTGCTGAAGAGCCTACCTTCCTCTTCCTTCATCTTCCTCAGGTCATCCTCGCCTACCAGGGACACCCGGGGCTTGGGTTTGGCGTTTGCTGTCTGCTGCTGCTTCATGTCAACCTCAAAGTACTTCTGTCGGTCCTTGAAAGAGCGCCGTTCTGGGTTGCCCTGTCTAGTGGGAGCAGGTGCCTGCCACAGCAATGGGGGGTGGGGGGCTGCTGTCAGAAATGTGACACCAATATCATCAAAGCCCCTTCACTGTAAATGAGGGTCTTATTCTTACTCTTGAATAATTTCAAGATGACTTGTTCAAACAACCGAAAGCATGCAAGATTCTTTACAGAAACAACTACACAGTTTTGCAGTTGCAGAATGCATCAGCCTTAAAAATTTTGCCATTCCTTTGCAGCATGGTCAGTGTTGAAAGGAAGTTTGTGTTAGTAATATTCAGTGATCACCACTTCATCATCAGTGGTTAATCAGCTAATTATGAAAACTCCCCAAGTCTGTTAAATATTGAGTTACTACACCATTTGGAGGCCCACATTGCACACCTTCAAGCACAGCACCATTGGAAAGGCCCGGAATTAATCAGAGAGACCTCAGGTCAACACCACTGTGCCCCTCAGTGTTGGTTCCTGAGCTGGCCACCACCTGAGGCTGCTGCCCCCCACCAGGGGTACCTGTATGTCCAGTGAGGGCCGGGACCGGCGTGGCACAACAGCCAGATTCATGTAGTCGCTACGGTCGGAGGTGATGGGGGCATGAGTGGAGACAGGAACTGTGTCCACCCTGCCCACACTATCGAGCCTGGCCTCGCTCTCAAATACCTCGTTGTCCAGCTCGGGCTGCAAGGGCCACAAAGGTCATCACTGGCTGGTTCACAAGCTGAGATGCCCAAGCCGTAAGGTCACTAATGCTCAGAGCTCCGATGATGCAACCATTGGCCAACTCAGCTTCGCAAATGCATAAGCATGTTATAAAATACCCCGGTGTGGATCTGCAGTCCAGAGAGCACCATGTGATTACCGGACTTAATTCGATGCCAGAAGTCATTCACTCTTACCATTACAGATTTTAGAGCTTGTATGATTATTGTGCTGCCAGACTTACCTCCACAAGCTGCCGGGACTGAACGCTGGGCTTTGGGCTGAGCGGCTCCTGCATAACCAAAGACAGACAGTCAGAGGGCTCGGGAGATGGAAGGGGACATGCTTTACGCAGGTCTAAGGATACATGATGGAGAAGAAGCAAGCATAGGGTCCACATCCCTCAGCCAGCACATGAATCCCAGATTTCAACAACAAACTTAATTCAAAGCCATTTAAAAAATTTATGTAGTCTTCTGAAACCTGTATGCAAGAAAATCATGTTGGAAAAAGCATTTCAAGCATTAGAAGCCCAACCTATTGGCTTCAGGAATGGAGGCTTCCAGAACCCCACCTGACAGCCCAACGGAGGTTCGCGGAACCATACCTAGCAGCCCCATGGAGGGTTCTGGAACCCCACCTGACAGACCAACAGAGGCTCCCGGAACCCCACCTGACAACCCAAAGGAGGCTCCCGGAAGCCCACCTGGCAGCCCCTCGAAGGCTTCCGGAACCCCACCTGCTCGAGCACAGCCACGGAGCAGGGCACAGCCGCAAGGGCCTTGTAAGTCTGCTTCATACTGATGGGAAGGTCATTGGGCGAGGTGAGGGGAGGAGAACGCAGAGACTAGTATTGGGGGGAATGATGGGGAGGGGAAGAGGAAAAGGAAGACTTACTCAAATGAAACAAGAGTAGAGACACAAGACGTGCTCACTAAGAAGGGGGGACGAGGAGATACAGCTAATGCAGTACTATTACAGAAGGTCAGGGCTGAAGTTGCAAGAGAACGCAAACTAGTCACAGGAAACAAGAGCAGAGGCAGAGGGTGTGCTCACTAAGAAGGGGGGATGAGGAGATACAGCAGATACTATCAAAGATGGGCGGGTTTCTGCTACAGGCTGCTGCCTCACACTCTACATGCGTGTAGCTGAATATCAGCACATCTTAATCCGCACAATAAAGAGTGAATTGGATGTGAGCAACATCACACACACTTGATCGCAAACCAAGCATCTTGAAAGACACCTTGAAAGGTGTGATTTCATTGACAATGAAGCGATAGAACGGAGATGTAAGACCTCATAGTACAGATGATCAACGTGGATATGCCAAGTCTGGGCCTCTAAACACATCGGGAAAGCTGGTACCAGACAGCTTGGTTTTAGTTATTTCTTGACACTTGGTGCCAAGTTCCCCATTCTTAGTGCATATTCCCACAGGCTTCCAAAACCAAAACCTAAAAGTTCTTACAGTGGGACGAGGGCTGATGAGTGGTGGTCCAGGTGACTTTGGGCTGGACCGGCTGTCTGGACTGGACGCTGAGCTCGGCCACATGGGAGACAAGGGCTGGATCTTGCCCGGTCTGGTCTTTAAGGGCAAGAGGAGCAGGAACACAGGCCACTTTATTCTCCATGTATGATGGCGTGTCTTCAGGAAGAACACACTTCAGGGCACCTCAGAAAATTCTGACATCATGACAGACTCACCAGGATACTTTCTTTGGCGGCTACACCAGAGATATAATGATGACTTGGCTGAAAGAGATAAAAGGAGCAGATTTACGGGCAGGCTGCCTCATATAGAGAGAGGGCTCGGTGGTCATGAAAAACAATACACTGGGCGTTCGCTGCATTACAGTGTCCCAGGCATGAGATAACACCCACAATAGCAGTAACCATAAAAAACCAGGATGGCTGATGGTAGGTTAAGGCAGAAAGCAGGTCCTCACCGGATGGGAGGAGGGGGAGTGCAAGGCGTTTCTGCTGGGGCTGCTGAACCCCGGAGACTCAGAGGAAGGCGTCTGAAAGCACACACACCCCCCCACACACCAATATTACCATTCAGTATCCCAACATTCCCAACACCTATCACTGCCAACAGGCTAGCGCTAACCCAACATCCTAATCATATATAACGCTGCTAAACTTGCTTCTCTCATTGACTTCAGGTCCTTCGTTTGGGTTCATTAAACAACCTACAAATTGTATCTAACAGGTCTAACATCTAATTGTATCTAACAGGTCACTGGAACATTTTTAAAACACACACAAAGGCCCTTCATACAGGATACAGTCAGCCTGCTTACACTAGTGACATTTCATCTGCCTGCTGCTGCACTTGTCTTTCGACCTGAAAGGCATTTGATGACTGACCCATATCTGTGGACTCGGCCTGCCGACCCTCCCGGCTGCTGATGGTGGATGAAAGTCACTCACCCGGTTGATCTTTTGCAGGCTGGTGACAGGTAATGCCGCCAGGGTCCTGTAGTCCAGTTTGAGCGGTCGGGTTTTGAAGGCCTGAAGGAGGGGAATACAGTAAGGGGAACAGCACATCTATGCTGGAAAGGACCTTCTGAATTTTCAAACTACTCAATGAATACAAGGACCCAGTGAGCCTGTAGCCCATTCCAGGAAGCTCAGGGCATAAGGTAGGGGACGAACTTGCTAAGACTTGCTGGCTAATCGCAGCGCTAGACAAACTCAGTGTCTCCCCCTGTTGGAGGAACAGGGGATGGGCAAGGGTAGCCTCACCTCAACCTCCTTTTCCAGAAAGTGATTAGATTACCCCCCCTCACGCTTCAGGCGCATGCGTCCCTTTGATGGTGGGGAGGGAAAAGAGCCATGGAGCACATGCATGCATATAAGCAGCAGAGACATGAACTCAGCGCTGATCTTCAGCGCTAGCAGGGAAGGAGAGAGGAAAAAAGCAGACCACGGGAACAACTAACAGGGCTGCCCTCATCAAGACCAAGCTACACGCCTTCATTAATGAAGCTTTTCATTTTCTTTGAATTAGAATCCGTGCCCTACAACTGGGACTACAGAGATAGAGTTGTGTAACCTCATTTTAATCGATTATGGAGTTTTCACCACATGTAGACCATCGTGTGAAAGTTTATGCCCCTCAGGTTGAAGTTCTCATTTAAACTTCCATTGAGATGCTGCTTCAAGGCCTGAAATGAGCAAATTACAGCCACGAGTGTCACCGAGCTGAAAGCAGTCTGCATGGAGGAGGAACCTCCTCCAGTGCTGCCAGATGGATCTGCAGGAGGCCGCTAAAGGGGGGGGGGGGATGGTGTGCGCCTCAGCGGTTTAGGACCCCTGCCTGGCAGAGTGATTTCACCGTGGGGCCCCTTACCCCAGTCGCTCCAGGGATGGTCTAACCTTGCTTTCTCAGCTGTAAAAAGTCTGCTAAGTAATGGAAATGCATAGTTCTGATTATTAAATTAATTTTTGTTCACTTAGCTTCTAAGTGCCACCTCATATCTAATGTATATTCTAGTTCATGAATCTAATCTACAAGTTGCAAAAATGTACAAAGGGAGTAATATAATATTGTGATGTAATATCATGAATGCATCATGGCACCCAGTGACACCCCCAAAACACTGCTGTTCCAGCACGGGGTCTCAGCTCACCAACAGAGCCTCGTCAATGATTTCCCTGCACCGTCATGACAAGTTCAGTCCCCGGTGCTGCTGTGCTGCCCCCCCCCCCCACCAGCCCCAGCCCTCCTCACCACATCCTCCACAGCTTCCTTCTCCCACCGGGAAGCGTCATGCACACTTTCTGCCTCCTATATAGAGAGAAGAGGAGGAAGCAATGGGTTAATGTCGCCCACAGGCCACGAATCTGGGATACAGTCAGCACATCTCAGCGCTCTCCTTACCTTCTGCATGACAGGGATCTGCACTGGGCTCAGGTCCCTGTCAACGGAGGAGATGCTCTCCGCACTGGTCTTGCGGTTGGCAATGACACCAGGCGTGCTCTGTGGGTGCGCAGGCATGACAGAGGTATGTGCAGGCATGACAGAGGTATGTGCAGGCATGACAGAGGTATGTGCAGGCATGACAGAGGTATGCACATCCACACTGACATGATGCTCTTATTACAGGTAGCCATTGTTTCTGCAACACGCCCACTCTAATGTCAGCCATTTGCTCTGGTGTTCTCCTTTACAGAAAGTATCCCAGTCAGATTTAATCAGCAAAGTGCTGAGCACCAGCCTGCAGCCCCACAGGCCACAGAATCCCTTCCAGCCTCGGCGTTGGAGCTCATGCAGGTAAAAGGGCCCGATAGCACACTCACCTCCAGGGCGGCGGCTTCTTGGGGATCGAAGCCATCGCAGAGCAGCAGGGAGAGTGTCTCCCCGGCCCCGCGCAGGGCGCTCACGGCATCCGCGTGGCTCTGGCCCAACAGGCTTTGACCGTTCACCTCCAGGATGCGCGTGCCAGCTTGCAGGCGGCCGTCCCTCGCTGCAGCCCCGTCGGGGCTCACCTGGGAGGACAGAGAGAGCTGGGTTGGCCACCTGTTTAACCTCAGAGAGCCTGAACAGACGCCCATTTACCACCAGAGAGCCTGAACAGACGCCCATTTACCACCAGAGAGCCTGAACAGACGGCCATTTACCCCCAGAGAGCCTGAACAGACGCCCATTTACCCCCAGAGAGCCTGAACAGACGCCCATTTACCCCCAGAGAGCCTGAACAGACGCCCATTTACCACCAGAGAGCCAGAGCAAATGTACATTTACCCCCAGAGAGCCAGAACAGACGCTCATGTACCCCCAGAGAGCCTGAACAGACGCCCATTTACCCCCAGAGAGCTGCCCCTATATCCCACAGAGAGCCACCCGTTTACCCCACAGAAAGCTGCACCTTTACCCCCCAGAGAGCCAACCGTTTACCCCCCAGAAAGTTGCACCTTTATTAGCCCCGGGAGAGCCGCCCCTTTACCCCCCGGAGAGCCACTCTTTTACCCCCCACCGACCTAGTCGCTGAGGGACTCTTAAAAAGAATCATATTTCTGCAAATACTGTCTGTGTAGCATCACAAACAGGGATGAAGTCACCTTGGAGATAAAGATTCCCTCGTCCGTGGGGTCAAAAGGGTTGCCGGCGTGGCCTTTAGCTCCGCCCCGAATGTTGATGCCCAACTTTTCTCCAGGTAACTTCTGAATCTCGATCTCCTGCAGATGCACCGTGACACTCAGGATTACACTCCAGATTCTTGCAGGTGTGGACAGTAACATGGCTAGTGCTAAAACCATTGAATAAGAAGCTGAGTCTGTAGCGCGAGTCACACCTGCATGCCAGGAGGGGCGGGGTCCCTGCGCACCAGCAGACGCATCTCCTGCTGGCTGGACAGCAGCGCACCAACGGCTTCCTGGTGCATGGCCTGCCGCAGGTTGGTGCTGTTCACCTCAAGGAGGCGGTCGCCCACCCGCAGGCCCGCGCTGCAAGCCACGCCCCCGGGCACCACCTGAGGAGGGCGGGCAGACAGACAGGGGCGGGGCATCAGAGGGATTCAAACCCCGCTGTGGTGACGGAGGCTGGTAGGAGCTGAACTTCTGCCTGTGTATTAGGGGGGTGAGAGGGAGGGAGAGAGCAGTGGAGGGAGGGGAGAAAAAGAGAGAGAGGAAGACAAAGAGGCAGAGAGGGGAAGAGACAGGAGAAGGGAGGGTGAGGGGGAGAGAGAGATGGAGAGAGGGATAGAGGGGTGAAGGGGGGGGAGAGATATACCTCATTTCCACTAACACGAAGCTGGTGCTGGTGCTAGGCTGGTTCTGGCTTGGTGCCTTTTGAGAACCAGCCTGCGTTTCCACTGGTTTAAAAAAGAACCGGAACAGAAATGTTACGTAGGCGGAAGTGAAAGTAAAGTAAAGGTTAATCTGTATTTAGTATTTATTTTGCCGAACCGAAAAAAAAGTTTGTGTGACTCGTTTGCCCTGTCTCTACTTCCTGTATCCACTTTTGTCTCTAAAAAGGCTCCCCGGCTGTGTGTGAGTGAGTTTATTCTCTCTCGCTGTTTTACTGCTGTCCTTTCTCCGATCGCGCAATAAAAGAGTCTGCTAAAAACTAAAAACTTTGCAGTCGGCCTCATGATCTCTTCACCACTGGAACACCACAATATTTTATTCAACCTGTGACATATTCATACTTTTAAACAATATTTATACTATTGTTAAACATATTTATACTTATTAATAAATCTGGCCAGCAGGTCAATCTTATGTTTTTCACAGAATAAAAAACACAATGTAACATTGCATCGTTTATGCGAATTATACAACTGTTTTAGTGGAAGTTAATATTTTACGTAAAATATTTTATTTTCATCAAATACAATCCATATTTGCCATTTTGTCTCAGTGAAGTTTACCCCGTCTGTGTTAGTTTATTCTCGCTTGCTGTTTTACTGCTGTACTTTTAAGGATCATGCAGTAATGCTAAAAACTGCTAAAAACTTAACTTTGCTGTCCGCCTCATGATTTCGTTGCCACCAGAATTTTATTTGTTTGACCTGCGACATATTTATATTGTAGTATTAAATCTGGCCTGCAGATCTTTCATTTTTCTCAGAATAAAAAAATGATGTAACCTTATTCCGCCAATAAGCTAGCAAGTCATTTCACTGCCAGCAATTAGACTAACTAATTGGTTATGGATTGAATTTTTTGGGTATATGGAAGGTTTGGACACCACAGCCCATCCAACTTTCACTGAAGTCATGGTGCCACATTCTGAGCCCAGCTTTTCTGTGGTGCCGTTTTTTCTGGCCCAGGACCATTTTTTGTGGTGGAAACGCGTGGAACCGGGGCCGGATTGAGAAGAAGTCCAGCACCAGCACCGGCACCACCTTGGGACAAACAAGGCTATAGAGAGGTAGAGGGGAAAAGACAGGAGGAGGGTGGACAGAGAGAGGGAGATGGGGGGGGGAGAAGTACAGGAAGTTGGAGGTGTGGGGGACCTTGGAGATGAAGACGCCGGGCTCCGTGACCCCGAAGGGGTGGCTGGCGTGGTCACTACCCCCCACGATGCTCAGCCCCAGCGGGCCGCCTGTCTTCAGCAGAGTCAGCTCCTGTGAGGAGGCAGAGGGAGGCAGGAGAGTGGCTGTGAGAAAGCATCGTCCAGAGCAGAGGTGCGAAGGCCACTCACTTCTATGTCACATTGAAAGCTAAACCTTTCGCACTGTTAATAAACACTCATTTACTTACATGTCACAATTGTAAAGTAAGCAGTGAACCTGCCCCCCCCCCCCCCCCCCCCCCCCCCCCCCCCCCCCCCCCCCCCCCCCCCCCCCCCCCGCGGCCCCTGCAGTCTCACCTCGACAGGGTACACGTCCGTACACGGCTGGTCCAGGTGCTCACTCTGAGAACAGGTACCAGTGGGGTCTGAGTCACTCGGCTGGGGGGGCGGGGGGGAGCGTGGCCGGGGCGGGGGCCCTGTGGGGTGATCCTCGGTGGCATCCTGCTCACGCTCCAGCAGCAGAGAGATGGTAGGAGAGGTGCTGGTGAGCAGTGTCACCGCCTGGTCACGTCTGGCATCTTCCATGTCGACACCATTGATCTGTGGTGACACCAAATACACACGTCACCCACCGGGGATGAACCAAGCCACCGCACATCCCTGGCACGCGGAGCCAAAATAACCAGCTAAACGGTTTATCTGATGGACCTTCATAGCTGAAAGGGCATCAGGGGAACACGCCTCTGGCTGCTCCACGTGTGTCACGGCTGCACACAGAAAGGCGGGAGGTGGACATGTCGACACATACAGCCTAATACTGTACAGGAGAAACGGACAGGAGCCTGGCTACATGTGGACAGGGGGAGAATGAGAGGGAGCGGGAGAGAAAGGGAGGGGGAGGAAGAGAAGGGGGAAAGAGTAAAAAAGAGGGGAGGAAGAGAAGGAGGGAGGGAAAGAATGAGAGGTGAGAGAAGGAAAGAGGGGAGAGGGGAAGAAGAGAGGGAGGGAGGAGAGAGAAGGGGAGAGAGGGAGGGAGAGAGGGGAAGAAGGAGAGGGGAGAGAAGGACTGAAAGAGGGGAGAGGGGAGGAAGAGAGGGAGGGAGGAAAAGAATGAGGGAGAGGAGGAAAGAAGGAAAAAAGAGGGACGGGGGAGAGAAAGAGGGGAGAAGGGAGGAAGCAAAGTAGAGAAAGCAGGAAAGGGGGAGAGAATGAGAAAGAGAGAGGGACAGGGAGAGAGCATGAAAGGAGGAGGGAGCAGGAGAGAAAGAGGGATGGGGAGAGAGGGAGAAAAAGGGTAGAGAGGGAGGGATGTGGAGAGCAGGAAAGAGAGGGGGAGAGGGGAGGAAGAGAGAGAGGGAGAGATAGAATGAGGGAGAGGGGGAGAGAGGGGAGAGAAAGAGGGAGAGGAGGAAGAGAGGGAGCGAGTGAGAGAAAGCAGGAGGGGGGAGAAAAAGAGGGACGGGGAAAGAGGGAGAACGAGGGGGAGAGAGAGGTGGGTAAATGATGTGAACTAATTCAGCCAGTGGCCTGAGGGAGGTTATATGCGCATGGTAGAGGCCGTCTGCACACTCCTGGTGAGCTACAGCTGCGTAGCTCTCTGCCTGTTTGCACACAAACACCATCACTCTGCAAACAGTGATGGTCACAGGCCTCAGACACCCGGGGCAGTAGCCCTACCAGTCTATCCAGCCAGCTGCTTTTGTTGGGACAGTGACATCGCTCTCTCTCACAAATGAAAATATCAGGCCAGCTTCGAAAGGCACCAAGGTCACAGCCCTGTCACAGCAAGGCTGCTGATTCAGCAAAGCTCCAGAAATGCTTTATCATTCAGCAGCATTAACTGGGATTTAATCTCACGTGTGTTCAAGTGTCTTCAAAAACCGAGCAGCTCTTGTTGGACCTACAGACACAAACTCCGTTCGCTTTGGTCATGGGGAAAAAAAATCCAACACTGACCGGGACAGTACAGGCTCTTACTGCTGATAGGTTAACTGAGGCTGCTGCCATGGTAACAGATGCTGTTACCATGGCAAAGGGCCCAGAGGCTCCACCCACCTCCACTAACACCAAGGCTGCCAGCAAGCAGGCAGAGAGATGCTGTGTATGTTGGCGTGTGAGGGCATGCAGGTAAAGCAGGGAGAGAGGGAGAGGAGGTGCAGGGGAGAGAGAGCCATGCCACCCAAGCGCCCGTCACAGAGAGGAGCGAGGGATCCAAAACAGAGGGGGAGAAGGACCGGCCTCGCTGACTGTGGTTATGCGAGGCCTTAGAGAGATGAAGGTGAAGATGAAATTGTGCAGAAGCAGGGGCCACTCACAGAGAGAACCCTGTCCCCCACACGCAGAACTCTGTCACGGTGGGCGGCCCCTCCCTCAGCAATGCGGGAAATGAAGATACCCTGGCAGTGGAGGAGAAGGCGGTTACCACGGCGCCACCAGCAGCAGCACCACGGTATGGAGAGTGGCATGATGGGGAATGCTCAGTGCACCTCAGGCGATAGGCGGGTGTCCCTAAAGGAGAAGCAGCCCGAGGACCTAGAAGGGATGTCAGCAGACACGAGCAGGAGGCCCAGGGTACCAGAAGCTCACAGAGACGTGTGGATGTTCACCATTCTTACCGTCTGCGTACACTGCATTCCGAGTTCCCCCAGAGTCCGTTGGCATTTCACGTTTCATGTCACCGGCGTCCTTATTAAGCATTTGTCCATGATTGTGCCAGAAATATGCCCACCCCCCCCCCCCCCCCCCCCCCCCCCCCCCCCCGCGGCCCCTGCAGTCTCACCTCGACAGGGTACACGTCCGTACACGGCTGGTCCAGGTGCTCA